CAGCAGCTAATCGATGAAATCAAGGCCATTCGATCAATTGATGGAAGCGTCAAGGCGGCCTTGGAGAAGTCACTCATCGGATGGAAGAAGGAAGAGGGGCTTATCACGTATCATGGGAAGCTCTATGTACCAAGAGACGAGGAGTTACGGGACAAGATCATCGGATTACACCACGACACCCCGTTGGTCGGACACGCTGGGATCAACCGAACGCAGGAGATGGTGGAAAGAAACTACTGGTGGCCCAGGATGGGAAACCAAATTCGGAAATACATCCAGACGTGCGAGGCGTGCCAACGGACCAAGACCAGGAGAGCGAGGACAGGGACTCTGCACCCACATGCAGTCCCAAATGCGCCGTGGGAAATCATCTCCATGGATCAAATCGGACCCCTACCGGTCAGTAACGGGTATGACGCAATTCATGTGTGGTGTGACACCTTCACCAAAATGATCCATGTCGAACCAATCAGTACTGACATCAGCAGTGAAGGAGTCGCACGATTAACCAGGGACCGAGTCTTCCGCTACCATGGGATCCCTCGCAAGATCATCACCGACAGGGACTCGCGTTACATCAAGGGCTTCATGAAGGAGACGAATCGGATGTTGGGTGTGGAAATGAACCCGGGGACCGCATATCACCCGATCACGGATGGACAAACCGAACGCATGAATCAGGAGATCGAACACTATCTCTGCATTTACGTCAACTACCATCAGACGGATTGGTCGGAGTGGCTGGGAATGGCGGAGTTCGCATACAATGACAAAATGAACACGTCTACCAAGATGTCGCCGTTCTATGCAAATCACGGATATCACCCATGGAAGGGAGTGGAGCAAAGGATGGAATCAAGGAACGAGTCGGCGGAGGAATTTGTAAAAAGAATCAAAGAAATACAAGACGAAGCAAAAGCAGCATTGGGAAAAGCAAAAGAAAAATGAAAAAATACTACGATAAACAAAGAAAAGAAGTTCCGGAGTTGAAGGTTGGGATGAAGGTGTACATAGAAGGGGAAAATATCAAGACGGATAGACCATCAAAGAAGATGAGCGACAAGAGATTGGGACCGTACGAGATACTGGAGAAGGTTGGAGCGGCCGCATGGAAGCTGGATTTGCCGGACACGGACCGAAGACACCCGGTGTTCAACGAGTCACTATTGACACCTTATCATGAACCACCCCCCCATCGCCGAGAGAAGAGACCCGTAGCCAAGATGATCGGAGGAGCAGAGGAGTGGGAAGTCGAAGAAATCGTGAAAGAACGAAAAGTCGGCCGAGGAAAACAGTACTTGGTCAAATGGAAGGGATGGCCGCACAGCGAGAACACCTGGGAACCATCACGTCACCTTACCCACGCGAAGGGCGTCCTGAGAGACTGGCAGAGGAAACAATCAAATCCAGACACACGCATTCGCCTCCTGCCAACGCTCAAAGCTGGACACTGGGACTATCTCATTCATCGTTACAAGCCCAGGGACGAGCGCCTTCCATATCCCGAACGACAACTCTTGTACCCCTACGAGAACGTCTTCACGCCCATTGGCCCAGTCGATGAGGACATCGACCCTAGAGAGGGGGTAATGTCATAGTTCAACCACTTTTTCATCTTATCATCGACGATCTTATCTTATCTTGGCACGACTTATCTTATCACGGATCTGTCATAGTTCAACCACTTTTTCATCTTATCATCGACGATCTTATCTTATCTTGGCACGACTTATCTTATCACGGATCACGGCATCAGACGGTCCGGGCTAGGGGTTCCAGAGGTTATCTCTATCGATTCGAGGCTGCGCGACATATGCTCCGGAAGGTTCTAGTACAACCCATGACCAGCGTTCCATGCGGTACATAGTCTTATGACTCATTAGTTGTAGATATGACTCAGACTGGATTTGGGTATAAATACTGTAGCTACCTGGTTGTATTCTCCAGTCTTCGAATTCACTTCTCTTTTCGACTTCATTTTTGGGTTGACTGTCACAATACGGTCATCATCTTGGTGCTGTATGTTGACGATATGCTCATTATGGGCAACAATCTGCCGGAGATAGCGCGGATCAAATCATTGCTCGCGAACCGCTTCAAAATGACAGATCTTGGTCCTGCAAAGGATTTCCTTGGTCTGAACATAGTTCGTGATTGCAAAGCGTGTAAAATCTGGATCGATCAGGCTTCCTATATCGAAGGAGTTCTAGAACGATTCCGGATGTCTTCGTGTAAAGAAGCTCGTACTCCCCTGCCTTCCGGCATAGTGCTTGAGAAGCATGATGGAGAAGTTGATGAAGACCGTCGTACCCGATACCAGCAACTGATTGGCAGCCTTCTATACGCCATGCTTGGTACTTGCCCCGACATTGCCTATGCAGTCATCCGTCTATCAAAGTTCAACAGCAACCCGTCAGAACATCATTGGAACATGGCAAAATACATACTCCGGTACCTTCAGGGCACCAAAAACTACCAACTTTGCTATGATGGTTCCACTGGCGCAGGCCTTATCGGTTATTCCGATGCTGATTGGGCGGAGAACAAAGACGACAGGCATTCAACCACGGGATATTCCTTCTTCATCGCCGGTTGTGCAGTGACCTGGGTTTCTAGACGCCAACCCACGGTCGCTTTGTCCTCAACAGAGGCCGAATACATGGCTCTGAGCGATGCTACGCGCCAGATTGCCTGGATCCGCACTTTGTTGACTGAGCTCGGATATGACTTGCCATCCACGCCTCTTTGTGTTGATAACCAAGGCGCTATCTTTATGGCAGTAAATCCAGTTCATGATAGGAGGACGAAGCACATCGACATCCGCTATCACTTCGTACGAGAATCCGTCGAAGCTGGCAATGTCCAACTTTACCATGTGCCGACTGATGCGATGATCTCCGACACGCTCACAAAGTCTCTGGCATGGGTGAAGTTCCAACAACATCGGCTGTCTTTGGGTCTTCGTGATCCGACTGTTTAGTCGAGTGGGAGTGTTGAAGCTTGTTTGTATTAGCGACTATCACAGTATGTAGACATGACATCATAAGTAGTATTCTTAGATTACTTTGGCTCGCTCCACAATGACCTCATACCTGACCTCATTATTGCGTCATCCATTACTCATCTATGATATCATTACTCCACTATGACATCATGATATCTGCTCCAGACTGGTATATAAACCTAGTACTATACGCTCCATATCCTCAGCTCCTGTGTCTCTACACTCGCTGAGGTATGCATTCTCCCTTACGATCTAATGACCTTACTTATGACTTGTACCATAGACTCTGTCTTATAGGTACAGCTAATGATACAGCTCCTGTGTCTCTACACTCGCTGAGACTCTGTCTTATAGGTGATCGCTACTGGTCGTATCTCCACTGCGCGGTATTGTCTGCGACAGGCCCCTCTAAGATACGGGGGAAGGCAATTGACCCCAGGAACTGGGGGCAACTGGACTTCGGAGAAGAATTCTCCGAGGACGAAATCGAAGCGCAGCGCGAAGCGCTTGAGACTCACAACGCGTGGCACCGTGAGGTCAAGAGGGAGCAAGTTCCTACTGAGATGAAAAAATTCAGTCCTCGGTTTGGCGCTAATCCCATGCAGAACGCACCTTCGATTCTAACTGACAACGAATCGGAGCCCGAAACAGAGGGCGACGTAGCGTCTGGCCAGACCACGGATGAAAAGATCCGCCGATTGGAAGAAGAGATCCAATCGCTTCGTCAGTTAGAAGCATCAACCAAGAGGTCGACGAGGACGCCTATCACCGACGCCCAAGCACTGGCTCGAGCGCACATCGAGACCCAGATACGAGCACGATCTGCCTCAAGACCGAAATCCGGGCCTAGAGGGCGTGATCAGCAGCTGGTAGACATACTGCCTGCGGGCGGATACATGGAAAGGGTCATAAGAGAGGCCGGGGGAGCATCACCCCCTCCACCCAGCTCATCCAGCAGCTCTCACAGTGGCTCAGGAAGCCACAGACGCAGCGGCGCACCAGTGGGACTGCCACCGTCAGCGCCTGTCGCCGCTTCCCATGGGTTGCTCATGGATGGGCCTGGGCGGGTAATGATCCGCCCAATTCAACCCGTCGCCTACGACGGAAGCGATGACGCAGCCAAATTCCTGCAATTTGTCCGTCAAGGGACGAACTGGCTGCGAATGGGAAACTTACCCGAGGATCAGCACATCTTCATGCTAAGTTATCGCCTCACGGGCAAAGCGCTCGATTTCTATAACAGAAAAGTGGTGCAAAAAGAGTCCGAGTGGACTCTGAGCGACTTCTTCGCAGGGATGCTCAAATATTGCTTCCCGTCGGACTATCGCATGAAATTGCAGGACAGGCTAGGGCGTTGCTACCAGAACAAACGATCAGTATCGGACTACTCCTCGGAGTTCGAAGAGTTGTACTTCATGATCGGACTTGCTGATGACCAGGAGAAGGTCGTACGCCTCTGGCGTGGGTTTGCATCCGAAATACAGGCAGAGCTTTACCGTCAAGAGCTAAATCCCGAGTCGTCAACGTGGGAAGAGGTGATAGACAGCGCCGAGAAAGCTGAAGTCCTTCTGGGCAAGAAGGACAAGCCCCGGGACACATCTTCGGCTGCGTCAAGTGGTCAGGCCGGTAAGAAGTCCCGAGGGAAAGGGAAGTTCTCGAAGCGCTCCAAGTCGCCGGACACGGCTATTCAGACATTGGCGGCGGCTGTATCGGAAGAAAAGGGAAATGTAGACAATCGGAATACGTAAGTCCTCAGTCGCACCGTAATGATGGTAAGACTCTATTCTGTACCTGTAGACAATCGGAATACGTAAGTCTACAAGTACTGTAAGTAAATAGATAAGGCAGAAGGAATGATACATGCACCCTCAGTCGCACCGTAATGATGGTAAGACTGAGGAGCGGTAAACGATCCTGAAAAACTTATAGGGGGTGAGACGTCCACAACAACCCCCAACATCCGATCACGTCTGATCGCCCACATCAACTCAGATGCTCAACACTCCCCCTGGCGGTCAGACCTCCTCCAGTCGAGCCCGAGCGCATGGCATATCCTCTCGTGGTCGGCTTTCCCGAGTGCCTTCGTCATGATGTCGGCAACATTCGATTTCCCCGGAACGGACGCGACATTGATCTCCCCCTCGCTGACACGATCCCGAATATAATGGTATCGGATATCGATGTGCTTGGCAAGTCCGTGGCCCTTCGTGGTCTCCGTGAGGCTGATCGAACCGAGGTTGTCGCCCAGGATCTTCAACGGAAGCTCTTGAGGTAGCGACACTTCCGCCATCCAATTCTTCATCCAAATGGCTTGCTGGGACGCGCGCGCTAGCGAGATATACTCGGCCTCGGTCGAGGATAGTGCCACCACTGCTTGACGTTTCGACGACCACGCTACTGGGGCTCCACCCATGAAGAAGATATACCCCGCGGTAGACCGACGGGTATCCACGCACCCGGCCCAATCCGAATCCACGTACCCCATCGGCTTCAACCCGGATCCGTCCCCGACGGCGTTGGGGGAGTACTTGATGCCGTAGTCCATAGTTCCCCGAATGTACCGTAATACGCCAATGAGAAGCGACCAATGTTCGGGGTTTGGGTTGGCTTGTACATGTCCAAGCGCACAGCAGGCGTATGCGAGGTCTGGTCGGGTACCACTGCTCCCCCACACAATTGACCCCAAGATCTGTCGAAACGGTTTGTTCGCCATGAATTCCGCGTCTGCAGGGGATAGCGGGGATGTCGATGCGCGGACTTGATAGCCGGGCGGAAGTGGGGTTGACAGCGGGGGTAGATCCGAGAAGCCAAAATGATCGAGCACCTTGTCAAAGTATTGGCGTTGACATACTGATATTGATCCATCTGGGAGTTTCTCGACAGTTAGACCCAGCAAGAGGTTCACGTCTACCTCCTTCAAATCCCATATCCGCGCGAATTCCTCGACCACCCGTTTGCTTTCCACGTCTGTGGATGAGGCCCCGATTACATCATCAGTGTGTGTGCTTGTCACAGTATAACTGTCACCGATTTTTCGTGTCCTGACGCATGGGTCCGCTGCGTTCTCGTGGAAGTTCAGCTGCTTGTAGCCTGCCGCCAGGGTCTTGTACCATATATGCCCCGCTTGCACTAATCCGTAGATGGGTCTGAGAAGAAGGCATACTTTGTCTTCCTCCCCCTTCTTCTCGAATCCCCTCGGTTGTTTCATGAAGACAGGTCGGTCCATCGTGCCATTCAAATACGCTCCCGAGAAGTCCCACTGTTGCACGTGAAGCCGATTTACTGCCGCCACCGCAAAGACCATTCGCACGGACTCCATTCTTGCTACCATCGCCCACTTCGTCCCAAAGTCCCGTCCCTCTATCATTTGATCTCCCCGCGCGACGTATCTTGCTTTTCGTTTAATCTCGTTTCCCTCACCGTCCAGCTTTCGGTCGAACACCCACATCCCGTCTATTGCCCGCTCTCCTTCTGGGAGGTCCACCAAACTCCACACCCTTTTCTCGTCCATCTGTCTCATCTCTGCCGCCATCGGTTCTCGCCATAACGGGTCTTTCATCGCCTCGTTTCCACTCCTTGGTAATGTCCCTTTTGTTACTCCCGCCAGCGCATACACGTCCTCCTCTTCGTATACATCACCAATATTGACCCAGTTTGCTGACGGTCTCACAGCGTCTCTGGCCCAGTCTTCTCCTGCAATCCGGGCTTCTTCCTTGATACGTCCTGACATTTGCGACTCCAAAACGGCTCGGCTGGGCTTTGGGATACGTCCGCTCCGCCGCGGCAGCTCTGGTACCTCCATTTGCGTTGGTCGTGTCGCTATTTCTGGCTCCGCACGCTCGGCTGCCTCGCCCGATGTCTGGCCTCTGATCGACGGTTTGCTTGTTGTTTCCAGTGTCGCGTCTCTGACTTGTTCGTGCACCTGGGGGGTTTCTTTGCTTGATAGGATATCTTCGCCGTTGGTCCATCCCGTTGCGCCTCTGGTTCGATGTGCGTCCCCTTCTTCGAAGATAACATTTCGCACTTCGAATACCTTTAGGCGCTTCGGGTCGTATATCCGGTAGCCTCGTCGTCCCATATATCCTACCATTCGACCCTCCCAGCCCTGGCGACCCAGTTTGCCTTCGATATCGTCCAGGTCTTTCACCCAGCATATACTTCCCCAGACCCGCAAGTGCGACACGTTAGGCTTGACCAGGTTCCCGTCCGCGTCCCGCTTTTGGAACCAGCGTATCCACGGAACTGAGTCTGGGTGTCTCGCCGATGGGATGAAGCTTCGCACGTAGCAATGTGCAGCCGTTGACTCTGCCCAGAACCGTGGGTCGAGGCTGGACTCGATGAGCTGTGTACGCGCCCCTGCTATGACCGTACGGTTTCCCCTTTCCGCGTGACCATGCGCTGACGACGACGCTTTTGGGACTCGCTCGACGGTCACTCCACGCTCTCGGCAAAACGTCATGAACAAGTCGTTGTCGAACTCGCTCCCGAGGTCCACGCGAACGACCTTCAGCTTCCGTTCTGTCTGCACTTCAGCTGACACCAGCCAGGTCGAGAACGCTTCGAGAACGGTCTCCTTGATGAATACCGGAAACTTCATCCCTGTCCCCCCATCCGATATCAGAAACAGGTAGATTGCCCCCCCGAAACTCGGCGTTCTTGACTTTCCCCATAGATCAAGGTGCACCCTTTCCAGCGGCTCGGTTTCATGAAGTACCTCATCGTTGAACGGCATCCGATCTTGCTTTCCAAGGATGCAATCTTGGCACATTCCGGTGAGCACTCCATTCACGACATTCAGGCCGTTTACTAAATTCTTTGCCTCCATCCTCTGGATGACCTTCACATCGGAATGTCCCAGGCGACGATGCCAATTTTCCAAGGTCGTGGGCTGGTTGCGGTCCCTCCCGGCAATGGCTACGGTTGGTCTCGGCTGCTCATCCGTCACGTTCACCCGGTACAGCCGATGATCTCCCTGGTTGGTTGCAAGAACACCGTCCATGACCGTGACGCCGTCCCTGTTCACCACATTGAGCACGCCGTTCCCCCACGCTCCTTGTAGTCCGTGCGCATCAAGGGTAGGGATTGAGATCAGATTCATTTGGAATTCCGGTGTGTGTACCGCTTGGAATCTTATTCGTCGTGCTTCTCCGTTTTGCAGTAGCAGATTCATCTCGACGTCCCCCCGCCCTCGAACTTGGAATCTTCCTCCTGACTTGACCGCGGTGGTGCCCTCGACGCCCGGGGTCGATTCGTATGTGACAAAGCGCGATCGATCCACTATGCAATGCTCCAATGCTCCCGAGTCCATGTAAGTTGGGATCATATTCACGCGTGGGCTTCCTGACGATACAGCGTACACTACAGGTTGGTATGGACGACCATTCGACCCGATCAGAATGGAAGGAGTTGACCTTCCACGTCCGATTCTGAGCGGGTCGTCAGATACGTGCCATCCGTCACCTGAGTGCTGTTGCTCACCGTAATCGTCTATCTCCGCGGCAAGGACGTAAGTCGTCATGGCAGATGGATTGATTTGCGGAGGAATTGGTTGCGATCCGTACGATGCGAAGTTGGCCGTCGGAGGTGAGAAGGGGTTCGCCTGTCCTCGCCGCGCCTGCCTTGCTTGCTGATAGCTTGACACTAGCGCTGGGCTGGGTTCCATCCTGCGCGGGGCCTTCCACCACCCTGGCGCTTGTCCTTCCTTTCCACCGCCTTTTGCCCAGCATGCCTTGTCGCTATGGCCATTTACTCCGCAATTGGAACACGCTGATGCCGAGACATTGATAGTCATCGCATTTGTGGTGTTCAGTGGGGTCCCAACGCCCTCATCCTCGACTCGCCGCTTCCAAACGATATCCCACCATTTGCGGAGGTGCTGGACCAAGTCTGCGACCACCTTGTACATCTGGAGAGATATCAACGCCGTTCCGAACTCCTCCTTGGGCAACGAATTGAGGAGGATCGTGCACATCAGGGGGTCTGGTATCGTTCCTCCGACTTCGTGTACGTCCGTGCGTCGTTTGACTAATTTGTCGATGTGTGCAGGCAATTTGCGAGGGTCCTTGAGGACGAGCTCTCTCAAGCGCTCAACCTTCATCCCGATCAACAGCTCGGAGCTCCGGTTGAATTTGGCGAGCAGAATGGTCCACATACGGTGAGCCGTGTCTGATCCCGTTATGTCATGCGACCTTGGGTCCTTCATGTTCTGGAACAGCATCGCGGCGACCCATCCATCGCGGATAAGGTACTCGTCGGGGGAGGGGTTGTCCGAGTTGAGGGCCGTTCCATACAGGCTTGCAACATACCCGGTTGGGTTGTTAATGGTGCCGTACAGGTAACCTGTCAGGCCACGTCCGCGAGCCATGCTGATGGCAGCTTCCTTCCAGGTCGACCAATTCATGCCATCGACTGCGAGCTTCTGATCGTCTGGAAGGATGGGGGTGGAGGGAAGGTTCGAGGTCATCGCTATAGGGGTTCGAGCGTTTTTCTGTAGGATCTATGGAGCGCTGTGGTCTTCAATATCACTCGTTTGGTGTACTGATTGTTGGACTGCTGCTTCCGCGTCTGACTGCGAATCTGTAGACAATCGGAATACGTAAGTCCTCAGTCGCACCGTAATGATGGTAAGACTCTATTCTGTACCTGTAGACAATCGGAATACGTAAGTCTACAAGTACTGTAAGTAAATAGATAAGGCAGAAGGAATGATACACGCACCCTCAGTCGCACCGTAATGATGGTAAGACTGAGGAGCGGTAAACGATCCTGAAAAACTTATAGGGGGTGAGACGTCCACAACAACCCCCAACATCCGATCACGTCTGATCGCCCACATCAACTCAGATGCTCAACAGGAAAAGGTTCAAAGAATAAAAAGGACCGAAACCGCGAACCAAATGACCGCCCCTGGGAGCGCAAACTGACAGCGCAGAAGCGCGAGGAGCTCATGGCGGCGAATAAATGCCTGAACTGCGAAGCGGAGGGGCACTTCGCAAGAAACTGCCCCAAGCTGCAGACCGTCCCGTCTAAGCAGAAGGGGAAACCCCCAGGCCTAGCGGCCCATGGGGTGACCTTTGAAACATCCTTGGCACTGTTCGAGAGCACGGAGCAATTGCTCGAGACATTTGCAATCGACTTAGGAGGCGATCGAGAGGGCGGGAGTACCAGCCAGTTCCAAGATGAAGACAAAAATGGACTTAGCGAAGTACTTGAGTACCTGGACAGCAACCTGTTGCACGACTCGCCCCCATTGCCCCTAGATGAGATGCACACGCCTATTGGCAACATCCGCGCCCGCTTCATACGAATGGCCCTCACCGACGCCGCCCCCTACCCCGGTGATGAAGACCTTATCCAGACTGATCCAGGGCCACGATTTGTGGTCACAAAGCAGCAGAACGGCGACTTCCTGGTCCTGGACCGGGCTGATGCGTACGCCGCATACGACCTGGAATCTCGATGGGTCAACGATGAATCATTTCGGATTGGGCTGTGGTACGCACGATTCCGCCAGGTTGTCGCTTGTCGACCTCTGGATGAACTGGAGACCAACGAAGCATGGGACACGGAAGTCGGCGACGTGGTGGCCACAATGGCCGCAGTTCTGCTGTGGTCATACGATCAAGAGGCAGGCAATGACGCTCACCTCGAGCTCTTCGATGTTGCCCCCTCCATGCTGGACCCATCCCGCTACACTGTCACCCTCCACCATCTGGAGCGCTCGTGTGAACTGCCGGTCGCTTGTCTCGACGACGAGACCTTTGACCTGCGCCAGTGGTATCGCCGATCCTTTGGCCCTCAGGCCAAAGATGACATCGTGAGGGACGAGGTAGGACGACCTGAAACGCCAGAAGAGGATCGAGACCTGGTTCACCGGATGGGCCGACTGAAAATTGGGGATGAGGAAAATAGTCAAGGAGGAGTACCACCTGACTGCGTGGGAGCGTTCGAAGAACGCATGGCACTCATTACGGCTTGCGGCGTAAATGCGGCCGTTACCACAGACAAAAAACCCCCACCACGCTCCATAGGCAACCTGCACGCTGCGGGGGCTTGCGCTCTTCTCCACTTCCTTCAGCCATATACGGGGGATGACCGCGTTCCTGGAATCAAAGACAATCGCCCGGCAGAGCGTTTCCGTGTATGGCGCGCCGGGGAGGACAGCTACGCTGTCCAAGACAGCTGGTTTTCTGAGGTGTTCAGCCTCCCAGCCCAATACCTCGCAACCGAAACGTTCCGGATTGGCGAGTGGTACGACCATCAGCTCGCGTCTCGGCTCGGAATGGATGCGCGGCAGACGTCCAGTGACCTACACGAAGTGGAGGTCGAAGACCTCACCCAGGCTGGACTAGACGTCTACCTGCGGAACCTCGAGCGCATTGTGGACACCGATCTGTCCCAGTTAAGGGTGCGAGTGCACACAAGTCAGGAGCACGGCGTTCGTCAAAAAAGGTACGTGCTGACGCACGAAACAGCTCATGAGAGCCGTTATATCCGTACCATACCGGCTGAATACCTGGCCAGGACTGAGTTCGACTTCTTGGGCTGGGTCCGGAGTAGCCTTCTCCTGGATCGGCACGGACAACCCCGTTACAAGGACGCCTGGGTGCAGAGAGCACGAGACGACGACGGGCTCGATTCGTACGCGCACTTCTACGCGCTGGATCACCCGGGAATGACCAGCCGGGAAGCACGCCTGCTGCTTCTCCTGCGGAACGGGGAGGACCTACGCCGGCTGGCGTGCAGCGGGCTCTTCTCGACTGACTTACTTGAGCTGACCCGGGACTTCGACGCGGCGCTATCGGACCTTGAATACGCTCAGCTAAGGGCGCCAACAGAGGGCGAGTTGTTTGTGGGAGGGGCACAACTGCCTGCGGACCAGGTGAGGGGTATCTCCAGATCCGCCTCGACCCCACGCTTACCAGACAAGGTCGTGGCTAAGCCGCTTGTAGTGGTGGTCCGTGTGAACGGGGAGCCCCTACGGGCGCTGATAGACTCGGGCTCGCTTGGCAATTTGATCAGCACCACAGTTGCCGACCAGCTCCAGCTCACCCGCCTGACGCTGGAGGACCCAATCACGCTGCAGCTCGCTGTGCAGGGCTCAAAGTCGAAGATCAACCACTGCGTCACTGCCAGATTCCAGTATCAGGACATTGATACGCAGCACTCTTTCTACGTGGCAAACATTAGTGGCTACGACATGATCCTGGGAACCGGCTGGCTCTACAAGCATCGGGTTAGTGTGGGTTTCAATCCCTCCCGAGTTTGCATTGGCAGCGCTGACGCTCTTCCCCTAGAAGGTGTAGCTACTTCGAAGATATTCACGAGCTCGACGAAACTGGAGGCAGTCTCAGTCGATGCCGTACGGGCAGGACTGCTAGAATATGCACGGGATGTATGTAAAACGGCGGCTGACACGCCTCTACCACCTCTACGAGAAATTAATCATACCATTCCGCTAATCAACGAGAAGCTCATTCTCTCTTGGCGCCCCTCTCGATGCCCCGAGGCCTTGAGGGATCAGTGGGACGAAAAGTGTCGGACTTATCTGCGCACGGGCCGCTGGAAAGTTACAAACTCGGGCAACACTGTGCCCATGCTATTGATTCCCAAGGCTAAATCTAACCCTCCGCGACTCCGTGTGGTCGTGGATCTTCGAGCGCGTAACAAGAACACGCACAAGATGTCCTCCCCTCTGCCTGACATGGAAGGTATACTGCGGCGGGTCGCTCGCTGTAAGTATCGGTCTTTGATTGATGGGCAGGACGCCTACGAGCAGATCCGTATTGTGCCGGAGCACGTTAACAGGACTTGCATGACCACTCCAGATGGCAACATGGTCAGCCTGGTGCTGCAGCAGGGTGACTGCAACGCGCCGGCGACGTATCAGTCCCTCATGAATTACTTATTCTCTGACTTCATAGGCAGATTCATGGACGTCTATCTGGACGACATAATCATATATTCAGACTCCCTTGAGGACCATCGTGCGCACGTCAGAAAGATAATCGATGTTCTCAAGAGAGAGAAGCTGTATCTAGGCGAAAATAAGCTGCAGTTCCTGAAACCTGAGCTGAAAATACTCGGATGGGTGGTGGACGACCAGGGGATCCGGATGGATCCCGACAAAGTCGATTCTGTCCTGGCGTGGAAGACGCCCACGAACCGCGATCTGCTGCGTGGTTTCCTGGGCTCAGTGGGCTATCTCGCCGATGACCTGGACCGGGTACGAGTGCCTATGTCAGTCCTGCATGGCCTGACGGGTGACACTGTTGCGTTCCGGTGGAGTTTTACTCACCAACGCGCGTTTGAGGACATCAAGCGAGTGGTGGCCAAGCTCAGAGAGCACCGGCGTGTCCCGCTTGTATATGGGCCAAACCATGACCCCATTTTCCTGGTCACCGATGGCTGTATTACCGGTGTCGCGGGTGTTGTCTCACAAGGGCCTGACTGGAAGAGCGCCAGAGTAGCGGCCTTCTTTTCGGCCAAGCTGAATTCCGCTCAGCAGAACTACCCCGTTCACGAGATCGAGATGCTTGCTGGTGTCGAAGCAATGATGCGCCATCGGGACATTCTGCAAGGATGTCGGTTCCAGTGGATCACTGACCACAAGGGTCTAATCCACTTGCTGGAACAGCGGAACCTGTCTGGAAGACAGGCGCGTTGGATGGAAAAACTAGCCAAGTTTGACTTTCAGGTTGTGTACGTCCCCGGGAGTGAGAACGTACTGGCAGACTCGCTGTCTCGCCTTTACTCGAACGAAGCGCCAGGGACAGTGAGGTCCCGTAGCAAGTACACGTATCATGACGTAGTAAGCAATGACTCGCTGGAACTTAGCTCTATTTCTATGCCGGTGTTCGCTGGCCGCGAGGCGTTGGCCCTCTCGTCCAACCATGTCCTGAGGTCACATGCACGCGTGGCACGAGAAAGGGCCCAGACAGAGAAGGCGCGAAAAGTGGTCCCCCCACAATCAGCTTGGGGTGGACCAGAGGGCGGGCCGCCCCCACAAAAGACTTTGCTGAGGGCGGAAGTTGTTAAAATCCCAGGGATTGCCGAGGCAATCAACAACGCAGACTCAGCGCTGTTGCCAGCAGTGGAAGCCGGATGGGCAGGAATGGATATCTCTGCCCACATCAAGGGAAAGTATATTGACGACCCCTTCTTCCACGCGATACTGCAGGACCCAAGGGCCCATTGTAACTTCGAGACAACGGCAGATGGCCTGATGTACCTCAAGGATAATGATAATTCATTATTGTGCATACCCAGAGTCCTCTATGGAGACCGCAGCCTGAGGGAGATTATCATCTCAGAGGCCCACTCAATTCTTGCTCATCTGGGACCACGTAAAACAGCTGACTATCTACGTGAGTACGTGTGGTGGAAGGACTTAGTCGAAGACACTAAGTCCTATTGTGAGACTTGCACCATATGCCGGCGCTCAAAGCCTGGCAACCAGAAACCGTATGGGAAGCTGCACCCGCTGGACATCCCCCAGAGACCCTGGGAAGTAATTGGCATGGACTTCGTGGGGCCACTGCCACAGTCCAAGAATCGCGACGGGATTTTCGACTGCATAACCGTGGTGATCTGCCATCTCACCGGGATGGTGCACATCATCCCTAGCCGAATAAACTACACTGCCCGGCAGCTGGCCGAACTGATGTTTGAGGAGGTGTATAAGTTACATGGCCTCCCAAGATTCATTGTGAGCGATCGTGATGTCTTATTTACAAGCACTTTCTGGCAGCGGCTCAACGAGCTCATTTGTGATAATCAACAAGAAATAATGTCGAAAAGAGAACTGAATTCGAAGACTGGAGAATACAACCAAGTAGCTACAGTATTTATACCCAAATCCAGTCTGAGTCATATCTACAACTAATGAGTCATAGGGCTATGTACCACATGGAACGCTGGTCATGGGTTGTAGTAGAACCTTCCGGAGCATATGTCGCGCAGCCTTGAATCGATAAAGATGACCCCTGTCCCCCAAGCCCGGACCGTCAGATGCCGTGATCCGTGATAAGATGATCCGTGTCGAGATAAGATGAGATCGTCGAGGATAAGATGAAAAAGAGTCGAATTATGACATTACCCCCTCTCTAGGGTCGATGTCCTCATCGACTAGGTCAATGGGCGTGAAGACATTCTCGTAGGGATCGAAGAGTTGTCGCTGGGGATATGGAAGGCGCTCGTCCTTGGGTTTGTAGCGATGGATGAGGTAATCCCAGTGTCCAGCTTCGAGCGTTGGCAGGAGGCGAATGCGTGTGTCTGGGTTGGATTGTTTCTTCTGCCAATCTCTCAGGATCTTCTTTGCGTGGGTAAGGTGACGTGATGGTTCCCAAGTATTTTCGCTATGTGGCCAGCCCTTCCATTTGACCAAGTACTGTTTTCCTCGGCCGATGTTTCGCTCTTTCACAATCTCTTCGACTTCCCACTCCTCTGCTCCTCCGATCATCTTGGCTACGGGTCTCTTCTCTTGGCGATGGGGGGGTGGTTCGTGATATGGTGTCAATAGTGACTCGTTGAACACCGGGTGTCTTCGGTCCGTGTCCAGCAAATCCAGCTTCCATGCGGCCGCTCCAACCTTCTCCAGTATCTCGTATGGTCCTAATCTCTTGTCGCTCATCTTCTTTGATGGTCTATCCGTCTCGATATTTTCCCCTTCTATGTACACCTTCATCCCAACCTTCAACTCCGGAACTTCTTTTCTTTGTTTATCGTAGTATTTTTTCATTTTTTCTTTTGCTTTTTCCAATGCTGCTTTTGCTTCGTCTTGTATTTCTTTGATTCTTTTTATCAACTCCTCCGCTGACTCGTTCCTTGACTCCATCCGCTGCTCCACTCCCTTCCATGGGTGATATCTGTGATTGGCGTAAAACGGTGATATTTTGGTAGACGTGTTCATCTTGTCGTTGTATGCGAACTCTGCCATTCCCAGCCATTCTGACCAGTCCGTCTGATGGTAATTGACGTAGATGCGGAGATAGTGCTTGATCTCCTGATTCATGCGTTCGGTTTGTCCATCTGTGATTGGGTGATATGCGGTCCCCGGATTCATTTCCACGCCCAACATCCGATTTGTCTCCCTCATGAAGCCCTTGATGTAACGCGAATCCCTGTCGGTGATGATCTTGCGGGGGATCCCATGGTAGCGGAAGACTCGGTCCCTGGTTAATCGTGCGACTCCTTCACTGCTGATGTCAGTACTGATTGGTTCGACATGGATCATTTTGGTGAAGGTGTCACACCACACATGAATTGCGTCATACCCGTTACTGACCGGTAGGGGTCCGATTTGATCCATGGAGATGATTTCCCACGGCGCATTTGGGACTGCATGTGGGTGCAGAGTCCCTGTCCTTGCTCTCCTGGTCTTGGTCCGCTGGCACGCCTCGCACGTCTGGATGTATTTCCGGATTTGGTTCCCCATCCTTGGCCACCAGTAGTTCCTTTCCACCATTTCCTGCGTTCGATTGATCCCTGCGTGTCTGACCAAGGGTGTGTCGTGGTGTAGCCCAATGATCTTGTCTCGTAGTTCCTTGTCCCTCGGTACGTAGAGCTTCCCGTGGTATGTGATGAGCCCGTCTTCCTTTTTCCATCCAGCGAGTGACTTCTCCAAGGCCGCCTTGACGCTTCCATCGATCGATCGAGTTGCCTTGATCTCATCAACTAGCTGCTGATCTTGTCCCTCGAATGTGACTTCTTGTGATCGGAAGAACTCGGGCTTCAGTAGGGTGACGTCCTTGTTGTCATTCTTGCCCTGATCGTGATCCGCTCGTCGAGACAAGAGATCCGCCTTGCGGTTGAGTGCGCCGGGCCGGTGTCGTAAGGTGAAATCAAACTCCGCCAATTCCATGATCCATCGTGCTTGCCGTTGATTGAGCTTCTGCGGCTTCCGAAAGTACTCGAGATTCTGATGATCGGTGAAGATCTCGAACGTTTCCGTGGCTCCCAGGAGCAACTGCCTCCATTCGTCAAGCGATAACATGATGGCAAGCATTTCCTTGTCGTAGATCTCATAATTTCGCTCGGTTTCGGTCAATGCATGCAAAATAAATGCGATTGGGCGCCAAATGCCGTCTTGGTTTCGGCTCAAAACGGATCCTGTTGCCCCTTCTGAAGCATCGGCTTCCAGACGATATTGGCCGGTGTCGTTTGGCAGTGCTAAGACCGCATCCTCCGCGATTCTCTTCTTCAACCCATCAAATGCTTCACGCTCATCCGTACCCCATGACCATCCTGCCTTCCCTGTCAGCCGAGTCAACGGCTTGGCAACCTCTGCGTATCCCCGGACAAAGCGTCGATAGAAGTTTGTGAACCCTAGAAATGCTTGGACTTGTTTGACGCTCTTTGGTTCCGGCCATTCCATCACGCCCTTGGTCTTGACTGGGTCCATCCGCATCGAATTGTGTCCAATAATTACACCCAAATATTCGATTTCCGTGCGTTCGAACTCGCACTTTTCGGGCTTCAGGTATAGCTTATGTTTCTGGAGCAATTCGAGCACTCGTTTCGTGATCCGCCGATGTTCGTCCAAGTTCTCTGTGAAGATCAGTATATCGTCCAGATAGACTACCACGTGACCCTCGTTGATCAACTCTCGGAGTATGTCGTTCATCATGTTTTGGAACGTTGCCGGAGAATTCGTGAGACCAAAGAACATAACTAAGGGCTCGTACAGCCCTCGGTTCGTGCGGAATGCAGCCTTCCACTCGTCGCCCTCTTTGATCCGTACATTGTTATATCCCCACCGGATGTCGAGCTTGGTGAAGAACTTTGCGCCGCATAGATTATGGACCAGTTCGGAGATCAGCGGTAGCGGGTATCGATTCCGGATTGTCATCTCATTCAGCTTCCGATAATCTTGGACGGAGCGTAGCGCACCATCCTTCTTCTTGACAAAGAAGAATGCTGATGCCATGGGTGATTTTGATGGCCTGATCCGTCCACTGGCCAGGTTCTCTTGCAAGAATTCGTCGAGTTTGACTTGTTCATTGCGTGATAACGGGTACACCTTGCAGTCCACTGCTTTGGAACCAGGTTTGAGCTCGATTGCATGATCCCATGCTTGTCGGTCCGGCAGCGAGTCGAACGATTCCTTGGCGAATACCTTGACGAATTCCCGATATTGATCCGGAATCTTCCCCTCGGTCATCCTCTCCTTCTCCTTTTCTGCTTCTTCTGCGAATTTCTGTGCCGGCGTTTCCTTCAGCCGTAAATCCACTTCCTTCCCAAAATCGACCAACAGGATCGATTCTCCCTCTTCCAGATCTGGTGCGTCCTCGTCCAAGTCGATTGCATCCATGTCAATCATCGCCTGATGTTCCTCGTGACCCCTCATGTGACACCGCTCTGGGCATCGGCTGAATTTCATGGTCTGCTCCTGCCAATCCACCTCGGGGTTGTGTTCCATCAGCCAATCAAGACCGATGAAGATCCGGGCTTTCCCTAAGCACGTCAGAAGGAACGTGCGTGTCTCCATATGAGGACCAATTCTCATCCTCAGATCGACGTAGTGCGTGATCCGACCGCTGATGTTCTCGGTGTTGTCGGCATTACGAGCCACAATGGGTTGTGGAAGCTCTTGGATATCCAACTTCTCTGCCCGTGCGTAGTCGGTGTCGATACAGCAGGTACTGCAGCCGCTATCGAGCAGCGCCTTGACTCAGCGCGTTTTTCCTGAGTCCAGACCCGTGATCTGGACATATACGTCCATCGAATGCCTCTTCCTTTCGGCCTGGTAACTGCGCAATTCCTGCGCCAACCTGCTGGGCTGAGGGCCCTTCTGTTTCTCGGCCGCCAATTTCCTCTGGACGGCATCTGGCACCCTGGTGCGTTTGGGTGCTTCTGGAACCTCGATTTCGGCAGATTCCTTAGGCGCTTCCTCCTTTCCCAAGGATTGAGCCTTCGGAGCGATGCTCCCCTTTTCGGTCTTTGTTGACGTGGTTCCTTCTCCACGAGCCATAAATACGTATGAATCCAAAATTAATTTATCTGCAGCTTTCTGATCCTTTTTACTTTGTAAATACTCTCTATTCAAAGCTATTTTTCGTTGGCGTTCTTTTTCCATATCAGCAATGAGAAAATCGTGAATGTTGGTACGTAGTGAGTCCGAGATTGTATATGTATGTGCAGAATCGTTCATGTCTTTAATTGAAACAAGTACAGAAAATCGTCCATAGTCCGGACGCTCCACCTCCTTGGCTAGAGGAGTGGAGCGCTTCAAAAACCCTTCTCGTGCAGCTTCTCAGCAATCTCCTTGAGGAACTCGTTGTCCTTATCCCTGTTCTCGATCTCTTCCAGCATTGTGGCCCGATTGAAGAACGTGCGCTTCTTCTTGGGCTCTGGACAATTCCGCGCGATGTGCCCAGGCTGCTGACAGTTGTAGCAGATGATATTGCGGCCGCGGGCATGGGTACGATCGATTTCCATCGGGACCGGTTCGTTGGCAGCTGGTTGGGTCGGAGGAAGGCACCATATGCCTTGGGCAGGGGAACGCCGGTGTTGTAGAGGCGGCTTGCAATTTCGCTGCTGAGTCCGCGCTCCAGGAACTCGATGAGGATGTTGTCCTGTTCCCCCTTCTTGTACTCGCCCTTGCTGTCGGTGGAAGTGACCACGTTGTACCCCGCGTCTGCAGCCAGCATTTCGAAGTCGGAGATGTAGTCCGCGCAGGACCGTCTGCCCTGGCGAAGGGCCATGAGTCGGGCGGCAGCGACTTGCTCTGCGTTGGAATCCCCAAAGGCCCTCTGAAGCTCCTCCAAGAAGCTTGTTGCGGTGACTCCCGCCTTTAGTCCTTGGAAGCCCTCGAAATTGTGCTGCTTCCAGTTCATCGCCCATCTCGAGGCGGCGCAGCTTGTGCCGCTCTCATTTCGGAGGTAGGACAGGACGAAGAGGATTTTCGTCTCGTCCAGCGAGAACTCTGACCGATAGGCACCGATGTAAGTGGTGCACGCATCCACAAAGCCCAGGTACTTGGACTTGTCGCCATCGAAGTAGGGGGGATTGGCGGCGAGGGTGATGCGGTGATGTCCTGACATGGTAGGAGCAGGTGCGGTAGGTGGGGGCGAGGGTGGTTGTTCGGAGGGTAACTCGCCAAGGTCGGGGAACTCGTCTTCAGGCGGCGGAAGGGCGAGGTAGGGGTTGGAGGGCCCGGGTTGGTTTTGATGCGCCAGATCGGGCGACGATGGTATGATGGGGGGAGGGGATGGACTCCCAGATGATGATGGGAATCGGTACGAAATGGTGGATTCGTGTGCTGTACAAGCACTCGAGGAAAGGTTCTTTTGCTAGCAAAAAGATCCCGGGCCTAGCTCTTCACGTGCCCGATGATCCCGAGGTGCGTTTTCCCGAAGGTCTCCGCAGCACTCCTTGTAGCTACCGTAAGGCTTGGGTCGGGCTCAACGTTACCCGTGGCCTGGTGCTGTTTGCTCGATATGAACCCTTCACTGCGATCGCAGAGGACGACTAGATGATTTGGTAAAAGGGTAAGTGGGGTGATAAGGATGAAGAGGATATAGCGGGCGTAGCGGTGCGGTGGTGCAGGGTAGGAGGTAGGAGGTACGAGGGTATGAGGGGAGTCTTCGAATTATGTGATAATCAACAAGAAATAATGTCGAAAAGAGAACTGAATTCGAAGACTGGAGAATACAACCAAGTAGCTACAGTATTTATACCCAAATCCAGTCTGAGTCATATCTACAACTAATGAGTCATAGGGCTATGTACCACATGGAACGCTGGTCATGGGTTGTAGTAGAACCTTCCAGAGCATATGTCGCGCAGCCTTGAATCGATAAAGATGACCCCTGTCCCCCAAGCCCGGACCGTCAGATGCCGTGATCCGTGATAAGATGATCCGTGTCGAGATAAGATGAGATCGTCGAGGATAAGATGAAAAAGAGTCAAATTATGACATCATTGGCACAAAGCTCAGGATGTCGAGTGCCTATCATCCTGAAACGGACGGCGCCACAGAACGGGCTAATCGAACGATTACTCAGATGCTGCGGCAGTGCGTATCTAGTAACCAGAAGGACTGGGTTGCTAAGGTCCCCGCCATCGAATTCGCGTTGAATTCAGCTCGATCAGACACAACGGGGTATTCACCATTCTTTATGAACACGGGCACGATGCCCCGGTCCCTCCTGTGGGACTCAGATCGATCTGGTGAGTTCCCAGGAGTGGCGAACTTCATCTTGCAGCGCCGGCTTGCCCTCATGGCAGCGCACGACGCAATCATAGCGGCGAGAGTGAAGCAAACGCGCAACGCTAACCGAAAAAGGCAGGAAGCGCCTTTTATGGAAGGGGACCTGGTGTACCTCTCTTCGAAAAATATCCGTTTCAAAAAGGGCTTAGCCCGCAAGTTGATACCGAAATACATTGGCCCCTACCCAATTGTGAAGGATTTTGGGAACGGATCGTTCCAGCTCGAACTCGCACCCGAACTGAAACAACGAAACATTCATGATGTATTTCATGCATCTTTGCTACGGATCCATGTGGCAAACAACGATCGGCGCTTCCCCAGGAGGCTCGAGACCCAACTCGACGTTTCGGCCGACGCCTTGGAGCACGAGTGGGCGATCGATCGTGTGACAGGGCATTACGGTAAGAAAACCCGCGCGGTTTTCGAGGTGCTGTGGTCCACAGGGGACAAGACGTGGATGTCATACGACCAGATCCACAAGCTGCCGTGCTTTGCAGCGTACCTAGAGGCGCTCGGCGTGGAGAATATTAACGCCCTTGGGCCGGGATCGACTGATGCTCCGACGGGGGAGATTAGTCTTACCGTGGGAAGCATGGCGATTGGGTCGATCAGGGGCGATTGCCGTTCTGGGCACCATACGGGAGGGAAAAGGGGGGCCTTACTCGAGCTCTCTTTCCCCCCCCATCGTTCCAGCTCAATGTCTCAGCACATGAGCGACTGCCGCTCAAGCCACTTCGTCCTCGACCCCGAGCGAATCCCAGCGCCCTACTGGGAATTCAACCAGCGCCACGCTTCGGCCACCGGGTGGATCCGCCGCCAAGACCGCTGGACGTTCGTGTACGTCAATCTCCGAGGCAATGAAAAAGAGTACTCGGTGAATGCGTGGGCAATGCGCGCTTTCATCGAGCATAACATCACTATCCATGATCCCAACTCGAAGGTGCTCACTCGGCCCGTGGGCTATGACGACTTCGCCCAATCGTTCAACGACTTTACTGGGTCGGATCTCCGCTTCAGCTTCTTCGAGATCGGGACTGAACGCTGGAGCTTCAACACCCAGAACCCGATCCCCAACTTCACGGACTTCCAGGTCCGCTTGGAGGACCTCTCGACTCTTCCCCCTGGCTTGGTCCTGGTCCCTGTCGAGGAGCGCGAGTTCACGACGACCTCCGCCCTGGAAACGCTTATGCGGCAGAGCAAGGGCCGCAAGGACGGACAGAACCGACGCGATTCCAAGCATTGGGACGAGGAAACGCGCAGAGGTGGCGGCAACGGCGCCGCCCGCTTTGCCGACATCCATTCGGCTGCGGCCCGGGAGCGCTTCGCGGAATACGCGGTCCTCCAGACCAAACGGGACGAAGAGGATCGGGCGCGTGCGCGCCAGGAGCGTCGGCTTCTGGAGGAACGCCAGCGCAAAGCGACGTCCCAGGCGGGACCGTCGAATGGAGCGTCGGGCTCCGGAGACAACACTGGTGCCATGGAGGGCATGCAGGATTAGCCTGCCTCGAGAAGTCAGGCTAGAGGGCGTATGTAACGGTCAGACTCCGTATGTACCCTACAGTTCTTTTTTCCCGTCTGACTACGTATTTTTCCACTTCTCCTTCGTGTCTGTGTACTTATCCCTTGATCCCATCGTTACACAGCCACTCTGATTAGATGATACGGTAGTCACATGGTGGATAATTCTTCAGTGAATACTACTACATTGAACAGTCAGCCTTTGCTCTACGTGTAGCAGAACTCGATTCGTCGCTTCTGTTACACTCACATGAGTCTGAGCACAGAGGGGGATCCTTAGAGACTATCAAATACAAGTGAGGTATACTACTCACCTGAGCACAGAGGGGGATCCTTAGAGAACGGTTCAAGGATCCATGTGCCCAGGTGTCACACTATATAGTCAGCTGTGACAAGTGACTGATGATGATGGGATATCACTGCTATGGAACAATGACAGATGGCAAGTAGATGATGACAAACCCAGATAAGATAGTGAGTAGCTCAGAGGGGCCAGTGATGGCCAGCTCCTGAGACACCAACAGTGGAAGGCCACACTGGAGGAGCCCAGTGGCCAGGCCAGTGCTGGGCCGGCCAGTGGAGACATCAGAGGCGAGGACCAATGCCCAACTGGGAAGAGGGTGGTGCAGATGAGCGCAAGGGCATCTGGTACAAGCCTGTACAGCAGTAGACCACATCCGTGGGAAGAAGGCCAAAGTGAAGGGGGAGAAGTGCATATGGCAGTAGCACTCCCTGGTGCAAGGAATCGGGCTTGGCTAGACCGCTTGCGGGGATTCAAAGGAGATGGCCGGGGGAAGGAGGAAGAGGGCGGATGTCGACATGGATGGAGATGAGGATTGGAGGAGGAGGAGGAGGAGGCCGGGTAATCAACAGGTGAGCAGGCGCGGGTTAGCAGAGAGGGTGCAGTGGGTCACGTGCCCAAGGAGCACGGCGTCCCCTGACACTCAGACTCATGTGAGGTTGCTGTGTGCTGTGTGCTCTCTTCCTTCGGGCTGGCAGGAGTTGCCCTTACACTGAATTGAACTTTATAATATGCATATTAGGGTGACAAAGGGTCTCCATTGATCCAATGGCTTTGAAGTGAAGATAAGCATGTTTGTTGTAGTGGTCAAAGTTGTAGTCAGTTGGTACTGCAAAAACCTAGGAATCTGTCAGGGGAACCCCTGCTTTCGTCCGGTTATCATGGGATCTTGTATGTGACCGCACACGTACCATCTGTCAGGCGTCATATGCTTTGGTCCGGACTTCCCTGCCAAGCGCGTCCACATGACACTCTGGCCCGGACCCCCATTGTTCCAATGGTCTGGATCCCATTGTTATCCCCAATTCGGCCCCTCATTGTTCCCTGGCCCCATTGACTGGCGCTTCTATTGTGCTTGGTCATCCATTGTTCTGTAGGCTATATATAGTGGGCCCTGACAAGGAGAGTCCCCAACTCGGTTTCTCTTTGGACTCTCCCTTGTCAGGTTTGCCAAGTCTCCTGTATTAGTCGATCCCTTTATCTGACGCTTTGGACTCTCCCTTGTCAGGACTCTGAGATCGGGCCTCAAGGTTGCCCTTACAATTTTTCAATTATCCCTCCTCCATGAACGTGTCCAACGTGTCACAACATGTCTGCTCTAATCTAAATGCAAATCAGAGATCCCCCAAAGTTGTGTATTTCAGCAATGCACAAAATGTTGCGGAAACCGTGCGTAGCAGATGCAAGAAAGTTGAGCACGGAAAAAAAGGTCTCTAGAGGAAGAACAAGGCCTACCTGCTGAAAACACGCCAGAGTGCCATTTCACAGGTGTTAACAAAATCAATAGATTTCATTTGTATAATCACGCAGTTGTGACTATTAAATCCTATTGACACAAGGCGAGGTTTATTGGGACTCTTATATAATGGGTCCAATATCTGGTAGTCAGGAATTGTTGAATATATCAACAATTAGAGTACTCTAGAATTCACAGATTTAGCAAAATGCAAACATAGAATAATATATCAATCAATTACTGGTTTAGCAACACAGTAGATGTAATTGATAAGTGTTGTGAAGCTTGTAGGCTTCAAGGACAGGTCAGAGTGTGGATAACAGATGTAAATTCAAAGATAAGATGCCCTCTACTAAGAGAGTGAATCCTTTATATAATCTATCTAGAAGGCTGTGTACATAGCATAACTGTGCTCCGTAGCAAGTAACAGGAGAGCTATGTATGCAGAAAGGCAGTGAAAGGCTATATAAATGTTATCATGTATCTAAGAAGTTTGATCCAGTGATCACTGAGAAACACCTGATCAACAATCTTGGATAATAATGACAATAAATGTCTCTAATCCATGACAACAGAAGAAGAAATGGTGCAGCAGGGTTTGAGGCCCACCACAAATGTGGCAGAGGAGCCCCAGCAGCTCAGAGTACATGCTCAAGACAGTATCAAATCTGATAACTTTGAAGAGGACTATGGATCAGAAAAAGTAATCATAGTTGCTAAAACTTGCTGATAGGCTGGCTACCAGGCATACTCTGCACCAACTCTATAAGGGTGTATGTTTGTGCTTTTACAGAGTTTACTCTCGAACCACTTAGTGTATCATGTCACAGTGGCCAGTGTTGTGCTCAGTAGGACTTAAGGGTCTGCTGCCCAGTCAACAACTGTGGATAGTGTTGACAATGGCAAGGCAGTCAGACCACTACTGTGGAATTGGTCTTATGGGTCTACACCGGGCTCAGGGCTATTAGTGACGGACACTCGTGCCGCGGCAATTCCTCAAAAGCGATACTTTGTTGCAGTTGAAAGGGTCATTCTCTGCAGATGGGAACTCATGCTGGAGGGCTTAGCAATGCACAACGTGCCCAACATAACAACTACCACTAGACAGGACTTGGCATTACAAGATTGAACCAATCTTGTTGCGGCAACTCCCAGCTTTGGGTTGAACGTTTCCTTAAGATCGTGCCACGGCGACAACTTGTCACATGTCATGACTCACTCAATCACGGGATATTGTAGATGTGTCGCGGTAACACTTCCAAGTGTCACGGTGAGTTGCACCCATACCCAAACACATCAAAAGCAACATGGGTTAGATCCGTGAACCAAACTATGTGAGGAACGTCTGGCATGCCTAGGGCCATACGGCTTCTTGGGGCACCCACGTTGGACTCACTTGCCAAGACATACCAGTTGGCCAATCCAGCACGTTGTATTCCAAAAGTATGATGCGGTGATAGGCTGGCTACCAGACACGCTCTGCACCAGCTCTGTAAGGGCGTATTTTTGCGCTTTTTACAGAGTTTACTCTCGAACCACTCGGTGTATTGTGTCGCAGTTGACAGTGTTGCGTTCAGTAGGGCTTAAGGGTCTACTGCCCAGTCGGCGACTGTGGATAGTGTCAACGATAGCAAGGCAGTCAGACCACTACTGTGGAACTGGTCTGATGAGCCTACACCAGGCTCAGGGCTATTAGTGACGAACGCTTGGACCACAACAATTCCCCAAAAGGGATCTTTGTTGCGGCGACTTCCTAAAAAGGGTCATTCTCTGCAGATGGGAACTTGGGCTGAAGGGCTGAGCAATGCGCGACGTTCTCAATAATACAACTACTAATGGACAGGACTTGGCATTACGAGATTGAACCAATCTTGTCGCGGCAACTCCCGGTTTTGGGTTGGACGTTTCCTCAGATCATGCCACAGCAACGACTTGTCACATGTCAGGATCCACTTGATCACGGGACATTGTGGACATGTCGCGGTGACACTTCCAAGTGTCACGGCGAGTTGCGCCCATACCCAAACACGCTCAAATCAACACGGCTAGATCCGTGAACCGAACCATGTGAGGAGCGACTGGCGTGCCTAGGACCATACGGCTTCTTGGGGCACCCACGTTGGACTCACCCGCCAAGACATACCAGTTGGCCAATCCAGCACGTCGTATTCCAAAAGTATGATGCGGTGGGTTGACCCACATCAAAAGTACCATATGGATTATGGGGCGGGGTCCTGATCACTCAGGACCTGTCCGATCGTTCAACTTTTCAATTACTCTAAAAGGCAACCCATCTTAGATAGCGTAGCTACTATGCAGTTGTACAGGACTTTAATAAGCATCGTTGCAGACAGTATAAGTAGCACATCATTTCTTTGTATTAGGAAGCTTTCCCCCGGACTGTGAATCACTCTCATTTCAGATTGTTTTGTACAATTTGCGTGTCGCGTGATTCCACCCTAAGAAGTTCTGCCACCCCTGCCCGGTCGCGACGAGTTGCTCCCTGAGCACTTGTAGCTACTGTGATTTGAGTTTGAGTTGAGATATCAGAAAGTCGGATTCGCCGCATCTGGTTTAATCACGGCATTTAGTGTCGTCGCCTTTGGGCTTTGTTGAGATCGTTCCATACCTCTAGCTTGGCAGTGCGTTGACTAGTTGTGCTCAGGTTGTTTTGGTCAGTTGGCAGTGCGTCGACTTGAGAACTTTGGTTCCACACTTCTTGCTTGGCAGTGCGTCGACAAGTTGTGCTCGGGTTTTGGACATTGGATATTGGCTGTTAGTTGGCAGTGCGTCGACGTGGCATTTTGGTTTACTAGTTGGCAGTGCGTCGACTCAGTACTTTTGGTTGTGTCAGTTGGCAGTGCGTCGACTCGGTATTTGGGCTTTTGCGTTGCCATCTGGACGCTGTCGCTACAAGGGATCTTAATACGAAGTATTAAGCTCTGACTTGTTATATTGTTGGTTGTGATTGGATTAGTGTTGGTTGTGTTCGTATAGAAGATATTGGTTGAGACACCACTGTTTGCTATATATAAATTCTTGTCGTCGACTTCGTCTTCCGCGACTATTGATCTGCGTCTATTGAGAGTTGTGATACTGGTGCTCTGTCCACCCCAAAGCCCTCACATCTTTTACACACTGAGAAGCTGATTACGAGGAGTGTGAACATGTTTATATTTGGGTTTACTTTCTTAGTAGATTCACCTGTGAGCGTGCCCTCAGCATTTCAGCGTTTGTCCCTCAAACTCTCCCATCAATGTCTGGGTCCCTTCAAAGTCACCCAGGTTGTTGGGCATGGTGCATACAAGCTCGACCTCCCTCACCGCCTTGCTTGCCTCCATCCGGTCTTCCCCGTTGTCAAGCTCCAGCTTGCTGAGGACAACCCATTCACAACATGCCCAGTACGTGAGGAGCCACCACCGGTCATGGGCCAAGGGCCTGGCAAGGAATGGGAAGTCGAGGAAAAACTGAACGCCAAGATGTGCTATCACAGTGTTTGGTTCTTTGTGCAATGGAACGGCTATGATCCATTGCACAACCAGTGGGTTAAGCACTCTGATATCTTTGCAGAGGATGCTATAGTGGCGTTCTACCGCAAAAACCCAGCAAGCCGCGCATCATTGCTGCCACTTTCTTTGACTCCCTTCCTTTCCAACACCCCTCTGCTACCATCCGCACGTTGCGTCGAGGCGCCACAATCCAAGGGGGGGGGGGTGACTGCTGTAAGGGCAACCTCGAGGCCTGATGTCAGAGTCCTGGCAAGGGAGAATCCAAAGAGAAACTGTGTTGGGGATTATCCTTGCTAGGCACCACTATTTATATGATACAGGAACAATAGACCGCGCAGCAACAAACAAGAACAATAGGAACAATAAGTACAATGGCCATGACAGAACAATAGGAAGCAGAGACAATAGGAACCATGGCGGCATCTGCCATCAAAGAGAAGCGCTCGGCGCAGCAGTCCGGGCCGCTGCGCATGACAGCTGACAGGTCACACAAGCGCAATCACATGCCAGATCCCAGGCTGATTGGTCCAAAGCGGGGGTTCCCCTGACATTTCCCTAGACACGTCAGAAGGAACGTGCATGTCTCCACATGAGGACCAATTCTCATCCTTAGGTCGACGTAATGCGTGATCCAACTGCTGATGTTTTCGGTGTTGTCGGTGTTACGAGCCACAATAGGTTGCGGAAGTTCTTGGATATCCAGTTTTTCTGCCTGCGCATAGTCAGTATCGATGCAACAGGTACTGCAACCACTATCAAGTAGCACCTTGACTCTGCGCATCTTCCCTGAGTCCAGGCCCATGATCTGGACATATACGTCCATTGAATGCCTCTTCCTTTTGGCCTGGTAGCTGCGCAACTCCTGCGCCAATCTGCTGGGTTGGGGGCCCTCCTGTTTTTCAGCCGCCAATTTCCTCTGGACGACATCTGCCACCCTTGTGCGTTTGGGTCCTTCTGGAACCTTGATTACAACAGATTCCGTAGGCGCTTCCTCCTTTCCCAAGGATTGAGCCTTCGGAGCGATGCTCCCCTTTTCGGTCTTTGTTGACGTGGTTCCTTCTCCACGAGCCATAAATACGTATGAATCCAAAATTAATTTATCTGCAGCTTTCTGATCCTTTTTATCTTGTAAGTATTTTCTATTTAGAGCTATTTTTTCCTTGCGTTCTTTTTCCATCTCGGCAACAAGAAAATCATGAATATTAGTACGTAGTGAGTCTGAGATCGTGTATGTATGTGCAGAATCGTTCATGTCTTTAATCAAAACAAGTACAGAAAAACGTCCATAGTCCAGACGCTCCACCTCCTTGGCTAGAGGAGTGGAGTGCTTCAAAAACCCTTCTTGCGCAGCTTCTCGGCAATCTCCTTGAGGAACTCGTTGTCCTTGTCCCCGTTCTTGATCTCTTCAAGCATCGTGGCCCGATTGAAGAACGTGCGCTTCTTCCTCAGTTCCGGACAGTTCCGCGCAATGTGCCTGGGCTGCTGACAGTTGTAGCAGATGATATTGCGGCTACTAGCATGTGTGCAATCAATTTCCATTAGAACCGGTTTGTTGGCAGCAGGTCGGGCCGGGGCGGGTGCAGGCGGAATTGGGGCTGCCTGCAGGCGGAATTGGGGAGGCGGTAGTGGTGTGGAGTGCCCATACAATGCTTTGTGCAGCTGATCACGCAGAGCATTTGCCTCGATGTTGACACACCAGTCCTTGAAGGCACCATACGCCTTGGGCAGAGGAACACCAGTGTTGTAGAGACGGCTGGCAATCTCGCTACTGAGTCCGCGCTCCAGGAACTCGATGAGGATATTGTCTTGGTCTCCCTTCTTGTATTTGCCCTTGTCGTTGGTGGTGTTGACCACATTGTATCCTGCATCTGCGGCCAACATCTCAAAGTCGGAGATATAATCCGCAAAGGCTCATTTGTTTTGGCGCAGGGCCATGAGTCAAGCAGCAGCAACTTGCTCCGCATTGGAGTCCCCAAAGGCCCTTTGAAGCTCCTCCAAGAAGGTTGTTGAGGTGACCCCAGCCTTCAGTCCATTGAGGCTTTCGAAGTTGTGCTGCTTCCAGTTCATTGCCCATCTCGAGGCGGCGCAACTTGTGCCAGCCTCTTTGCGGAGGTAGGAGAGGATGAAGAGGATTTTTGTCTCATCCTGCGAGAATTCTGACCAATAAGCACCAATGTAGGTGGTGCACGAGTCCACAAAGCCCATATATTTGGACTTGTCCCCATCGAAGTAGGGGGGGTTGGCGGCAAGGGTGACGTGGTGGTGTCCTGACATGGTACGAGCAGGTGTGGCTGGTGGGGGTGAGGGTGGTTGTTCGGAGGGCAACTCATCAAGGTCAGGGATCTTGTCTTCAGGAGGCGGGAGGGCAAGGTAGGGGTTGGAGGGTCCGGGTTGGTTTTGATGCGCCAGATCGGGTGACAATGGTATGATGGGGGGAGGAGACAGACTCCCGGACAATGATGGGAATCGGAACGAAATGGTGGATTTGTGTGCTGTACAAGCACTCAAGGAGGGGTTCTCTTGCTAGTAAAAAGATCCCGGGCCTAGCTCTTCACGTGCCCAATGATCCCAAGGTGCGTTTTCCCAAAGGTCTCCGCAGCACTCCTTGTAGCTACCGTAAGGCTTGGGTTGGGTTCAACGTTACCCGTGGCCTGGTGCTGTTTGCTCGAGATGAACCCTTCACTGTGATCGCAGGGAGCGACTAGATGATTTGGTAAAAGGGTGAGTGAGATGATAAGGGTGGAGAGGATATAGCGGGCGTAGCGGTGCGGGATGCAGGGTAAGAGGTATGAGGTAGGAGGGTATGAGGGGAGTCTTCGAATTATGTGACAATCAACCCAAAAACAAAGTTGAAAAGAGAAGTGAATTCGAAGACTGGAGAATACAATCAAGTAGCTACAGTATTTATACCCAAATCCAGTCTGAGCCATATCTACAACTAATGAGTCATAAGGCTATGTACCACATGGAGCACCGGTCATGGGTTTTAGTAGAACCTTCTGGAGCATATGTTGCGCAGCCTTGAATTGATAAGGATAATCCCTGGACCCCTAGCCTGGACTGTCAGATGCCGTGATCCGTGATAAGATAAGATGAGATCATCGACGATAAGATGAAAAAGGGTCAAATTATGACAGGATGCTCAGGAAGACAGGGGCAGTGCCTCGTTGTCCACAGGTGGCTCTTTGCATGCATCGGATGATGAGAGGAATGGCCCGAACCACAATTCCGACAGCTCGGAGTAGCCTCGGAACTGTTATGTAAAGGAAGCCAAAAGGAAGATGTGACTGGCTCATTAGCTGGCTTGACCCAAATAAGCAATCCTGGAATAGATAAGGCTTGATATTGTGCGATACTACTCCTTATGTAGCAACTATCAGTTGAATTCTCCTCTCTAGGATATAATCTATGAAGTCATCAAGTCCGATCTGAGAAATTGGTCTGGAATGGACCGCATTAGGGCGTGTTAGATTTTGCTGTATCATTAGGTGGTAAATGACTGTACATTGAAAACCGTGGACAAGTTGTCCCGCTGACCTGCCCAAACGCAAATATCTCATTGATTGATTGCCACAACACACGGTTCAGCAATGACTAGTATATTTCATGTATTCTACAGCGTAGAACCACGTACCAAGCATAATTGCAGTCCAAAGATGGGCAGATTCTGTCAAATCAGTGATTTGTCCCACATCAGCGTAGTTTCCCTTTTTGGACATTTGCCGGGAAAATATTCGTAGAGCTCGCCACATCGACAAATAATTTCTGCAGCTTCCATGAGGGTCTACATATGATCCTTGCCCATGGATTCGCACAGGTGGACAAGGTATAACATCTATTCATTAGTATGCTACGATCATGATTTCCTTAGCTGTCCCGCATCCCGCATCTCCACAGTACATCCTTAACAAAAATTTCATCTGCTGCGGCACCCGCCACACTTCGGCTAAACGGATCCTACACGTTCCAAGGAGGAATATATGCGGTGTCTTGTGCATGTCACGCTGATTGGTCGCGTATCTACTATCCAGTCTTTTCTGCAACTTCGCAGTGGCTCCACGTGAGAGTACTCAGTACTACCGCGGCTGTCTTGGCGGCTACGTGCGAGCTTCCGAATGAGTTTGAGAATCGAGATTCTGATTTGCGCGGAGCTGCAGCTCTGTTATGGAGAACGGATCTGGCGATGGCGACATGGTTTTGGGTCGATCCTCGCCAAAGGTTTGATCTTCAGTAAACATCTGACACCAGGGGCCTTCTTTGCCACGGCGGTCATGGCGTTGACCAAGTGGTAAGCGATTAGGCTTGTGGACAGGTGTGGACCCTCTTGTGCGTGCAGCGGGGACCGCTTCTCGTTGGTTGACAATGCTTTTGACGACAGCAAATGTGGATTCTGGATTTAGAGGAAGCGCTGCCCGAAACGGAATATTTAGCTGGGCCCTAGGGACAGATAGATCGTGGAAAAGAATTTGAAGCCAGTTCTGGTCGCCCAAAGCGGCTACCGAGGTATTTCGCAGTACGTCTCATTAGAGAGCTTGTTGCTGCTTGACCTTGCTAGGAAACACATGAGATGTGCTAAGCGCAGAGACGATCAAGTATGGCAAATATACGATGGACGAGTCAGAATCGAGATAAAACTCTTGGTGCGAGGCGGAAATAAAGTGTCACGGGACAGGATTGGGGCTTGAAGATCGGTTTATTGGATAGTCGTCGGAACACAGAAGCTTCAGAGTATGCGGTATGTTAGCGCATAATCCTGTTGTCTGCGTTTCTAGTCGCCATGACTAATCCTGAAACTTGACAGGTTATTTAATACACGCTAAGCTCTCCCAGGCTCTCCCCACAGCTTTTCGGATCACAACCACGATCTCGGATCGGGCATATTGTCAAGATTTCAGTCACTTGAGAGGAACTGTCAAGCTTGCAACAAGTTACTGATCCTAGTAATCACCAATCGCTATCGTCGATTAAGTATAGACTCTTAGCTTGAATCAAGATGCTCGTCAAATCGGACGACATCTATAATATATGTCGTGCTGAGCACATGCCACCACCACGACTCGGTCCACGAGAATGCCTGATACATCCTGACCCCAACGGACACTGCGCGAACTTTCATGGAAAGTGAATATAACATAACATTCAGGATTGCGAATATATTAAGCGCTGGAATTAATCCCCATCGCTGAGACGACTGCTCTTACTATGATATAATTTGTCCGATTTGGTATTACTTTTCAACACAGACCACTCTCTGCTGCACAGACCGCAGCAGCGAGATCTATGTGGAAAAAGGGAGTCTCCGATTCTATGACAGGCGCGAAGCCCTCTGGAGACAAACCAGATTTGTCGTTGGGCTGGGACTCGAGATCTCCTGTAGCCAGATTGTGGCTGTTGTCTCGCTCGGGTCCAGGCACAACACGGGCAATTTCGCGGTGCGCATTTGCTGACGGCTGGCCCGTGCCAAATCCGCCAGCAATCAAGGCACGACGGATCCAGGGGGATAGAATCGACGAAAAGTGGAAATCAACGGGGTGGTCGGCCCATCTCTCCACTTCGTTGCGAGTATCAATCAGGGACTGGACAGCGGTAATATCGATGTGAGACCTGCAAAAATTCAGTGCCCCGTCGGGAAAACAATAATTCGGATTGCGACTGACACTGCCGAAAAGTCGATAACCACGGCCCGCAATTCGGGCCGCTGCAAGTTCTGCTGCTGCTCAGCCTCGGCACCGTTCTTGGGACCAGGATCGTTCCATGGCCGGTCTCCTGGAGCGAGGTTTGACAGATCCTTGCCGCGGCGCATGTTGGCCTTGACATGGGAGACAATCTCAGAGTTGAGAATAGCTGCATTTAGAAACACGGTCGATTCCTCGAAGCGGTAGACGATGACACCTGGCGCAGGCGGCTCCACTTTGATGTCCACGTCGGTAGCACCACTGCCGTTGAGTGGGAAAAAGACCTCACGCGAGTCTTTATTGTCCAAGCCGCTGTTGCGGACGGTGACCTTGCCCAGGAACTTGTTGCGAGGATGGGCGATGCGGATGAGCAGGAGAGCGACCGAAAGGCATATCGAGACGTAGATGCCGTTCTCCACGGACGAAAAGACTGGACATGTGTGAGCAGCAGGCTGCAATCGATCAAAAAAGAAGACAAACCTGTCACGAGCACTGCTGTAAACCAAATGACAAACTCGAAGGGGTTTACCCACCAATAAGTATAGACCTGAGCAGGAGAAGCGACCAGGTTGATAACGGCAGAGATGATAACGGCAGCCAGGGTGGCATTCGGAATCCAGAAGAAAGCTGGAGTCAGACCATAGAGGGCAACGACAACGACCAGACTGGTGGCGAGACCGGCGAGAGGAGTGCGGACACCGGACTTGGCCTTGAGAGCCGAACGCGAGAAGGAGCCAGTTGCGGGGTAGGCACCGAAGACAGAGCCAACGGTGTTTGTCACTCCGATTGCAATGAGCTCCTGGTTCGGATTGATCGTATAACCGTTCAGACGTCCAAAGGCTGCATGGACGGTCAGGTCAGGGTTGCTCACCTGCAAATCAGATGAGCTTACACTTCGAGATAGCGATGTGCTCTAGAAGAAGAACAATCGTCGCCACCGGCAGTTGTCCCACGAGAGCCTTGACAAGGCTGGGGTCTATGGTAGGCGGGCCTGGAGCAGAAGTTCAGCCTTCGCAACCTGTGCTGTGTACTGCTGGACGCACCAATATGCTGAAAACCACGCGGTACGGTCAACAGAATGTTGATGGGATATAAACCATGGCTGGATCTGCGATCCCGGCAGTATAGCCAGGCAGCGATGGTCATAACAAGGATGACGAAGGCATTCCGCATGACAGACAAAAAGAAGAATAGTCGCGCGTGCCGAGGGAATCGCTTAGCCAATTGGTCGCACGTGTATTGGATGATGTACAAGGCAGCTGGGATGAATTCGTATTAAAATAGACTGGAGAACAGAGACAAGGACATACCCAAAGAGGGTAAACCCCAGGCAGCATCTAGCGTCGTGCGAGGTAACCCTTTCAGGACGTTGATGATCACATGGTATGTAGCAGCGCGAGTACTGGACATCGCGAATCAGAAAGATTTCAACACATACGGAGGAGAAACGGACTTGAACCCAGTGATGCCCATTAAACCTGGAAGCTGTCCGGCTGTAATGCCTGCAGATTGTCAAACAATGCTCAGGCTACTGACGGATCTAGACATACTGAGAGCAGATCCAGTCATGAAGCCAGAAACAGCAGGAGCAGGGATGAATTCGATGATCCAGCCTAGTCGCAGCAATCCGACTCCGAGGACGATGAATCCCGAGATAAATGCGATCGTGGTAGCGATCTCAGGTCCCGCCCATGCACCAGGGTGAGCCTGCTGGATCTTGCTGATGATCTGCGAGGTGAGAAGACTGGCAACAGCCACAGGGCCAATGGATACGTCTTTGGAAGTGGCGAATAACTGGTGCATCTATCAGTGCAAGGAACATTGTATGGAAAATCGCACTGACACAGTAGATCGTCACACCAACGAAGGATGAGTACAGGCCATATTGGGTGGGCAGAGTCGCAATTTGAGCATACGACATTCCCTGGGGGACAAGAACCATTCCAACCTTCATGGTCATGTTCAACAAAAGCCTGAATCAATGTGCTTGAGAAATGCGCACCGTGAGACCTGAGATTAGGTCGCCAAGTGCCCAAGTAGGATTGTATCGAGAAATCCATGTCAAAATTGGGAAAAGACTGAGTAGATATTCCTGGATCTACAGAAAAGTCAGCCCTTCATTGAACCACGGAGCGCGTGCTGGGCACAAACAGAGCGTCGAGGGTTCGTCCCATACGGTCGAACAAAGTCTCGCGTGGAGACTGTAGAAACAGAATCATCGCGGTACCGCACGAGACGTTTGACGAAGCGAGTTGCGCTATCCATGACAAGGGAGAAGGGCAAGTGTGACGAAAGGTTTGCGATTGATCATATTTATGTAAAACTGGATGAGCCAAAGCTGAGATCATATCGCATGCTTGGCACATTGATGGCGGTGTGGCGAGCAAGTGGCGAGCGTGTCAGCGGATAGCCCGGCCGAAATTGCTAGAGAGCATTCACTGACCTTGGCAAAAAGAAAGAAGGTGATAGAAAGGCGATAAGTCCTCCGTGAGACTCGGCATGCACACGGGAAGTGGTATGCGTCCAAACGTTACGGATTAGCGAGGCAGTCGAGGGAAAAAGATCCACTGAACTGAGCACGCTCACATGTCCAGTACGCCTGAGAGCTCCTCAACAAACTCAGCATTCCCACGTTATCATTTATTGTCGTCAAGCTTGGCTTCTCAGTACCCAGTCCGCATCACATCGACCTCAATGCCGATGTGAGAGAAAGAAGATTAGGCCGGGTGCTCGTCGGTGACAATCGGGTGTCGCAAAAATGTTTAATTTATGATCAGTCCTGACGGACTGATATGCCGCTGGTCGGACGGCTTGTTGTCAGACCTTGACCACATATCCTCAGGCGGTGGTCAGGCCGGTAAGGTCTTGTCAGGTATCCTCAGACGGGAGTCAGCCTCTGGTCAGTTTGGGATCAGGTATTATAAGTTGCGATGAGGCTATGTCTTTGGGAAATGCTGCGGATCGATGACATATATGTTGTACCACATGCAGGGAGCGTAAAACATGTCCGCATCAACTGTGTCAACCAGATAATGGATTTCTCGACCTGAGTTTTGCTATCAGGTACCCAAATCTCGATCGTGGACCAACGACTCGCCTTGAAAGACAGTTCCGCACTTATGTACATCTCAGGAAACTCGTTGGCAAGGAATTAGCGGAGTTGGACAGCGAAGTTACGGAAAAGCTCATCATTCTCTGTATTTTTTCAGCCTATCAGAGCTCGACTGTCCCCGTGGTCCCATGGCGCACCGAAAACCCAGTGAGAATCAAGATTGGTCGGAGCGATCTTCAACAGGAAGTCAACACTTCAGAGGGCGACGAGGTCATTGTTCGTGTTCAGTACAGGTTCACTCGGACTCTTCAAAGCGCACGTACTACCACGCGTTCATGCTGCTTTACGCGCTCGCGCTGCGCCGCGCGAGCGTCGGGCTGGTCAACTCGGGCTGGACGAATCGGCACGTTGACGTCGTGCTCGCGTACCCCCGTTCGGGCCCGCTGCGGCCGTGCGCACGCGCGTCGTGTACCCCTCGTGCGACACGCGCGAGATGGCGCGGCTGCCGCTCGCGGGGAGGGAGCGCGTGATTCCGATGTGCATTCGCTGCTGCAGAACCACCCGGAGTACGCCGCGCGGGGCGTGCAGCTGGTCACGATCGGCGGATGCCGGAATGCGAGCGACGAGGCTCGCGTAGAGGGGTTGCGGAAGCTTGCCAGCGAGTTGGGTTTCCAGGTGTGTGCGTTTTTGGAAGCGCCGCCCTGCATGGCTCACATTCTGGACAGGACCATGCGCAATTTGTGCTGAACGCACTGTACTCGCAGGTGCTCGCTTGGCTGGGTCGTGTGAGTGTTGGTCTGAACACCATGCTGGATGAACACTTCAGGATCAATGTTATGGAGTTCATGGTACGTCGCCTTCTCTTCTTCTCTTTCGCTTTAGTCAGCAGCGCTGACGCACAGGGCCAGGCGGCTGGAGTGATACCCATTGTACATGCATCCGGCGGCCCGCTCGTTTGCGTTGACGGCGACGCTTGCCAATGTATCCGAGTCCTTGCAGCTGAGCGTCGAAGGTGGACCTCAGAGGATATGGTCTCGGCTTGTTGCGATGCGCAGACCGCAAAGTTCCAATGGCAGTATTGTTGGGCAGATGTCGAGAGATGTGTTGAATTTCACAGTCCTGTGTACTTAGAAAGATGCTGGTACGCTGCGAGCTGCGAGTGGGGTACTTCGTGGTGCCGAGGGAGATCGAAAAACGGTCTGACGACCGATTACGCCCGAGAAACGGTCGATCAGCCGATCGACCGTTTGAGGACCGTTTAGTGCACGTGTCCGTAGCTCACATGACGCGACGCGCGTACATATGGTGCGGGACATCACTTCGTGACAAGTGATCTCATCAAAACCCCGCCGTGAATGGAGCTCCAAGCTGAGCCTCAATCTCATTGAAACTATGCAAATATATAGCTATGAGTAGGTACAAGATATCCCATGGGACAGATTTTAAAAAATTCAGGTTCAAAATTTGGTTTGGATTTGGCCGTGACCCAAAAGGAAATTTATTGATGGCTGTGATTGGCAGTGACCCGAGCCCATCCCGACGTGCCCTTGACACTCAAAAAGTCATGCCCTGCCGCAAAAAAGCACCCTGCCGCCCCAGAACTGCTTCTGGCCACTTTGCCACAGAGCTAATACCATCCTTGCTCACCCGAATGTGTTCCCTCAGGGATCAAAAGTTTGACTCCAACCCATGGATTTGGCTGTTAGCCGAGAAATATTTTCCCACGGTCCGAACCTTCAGATTTGCCCCACTCTTACACATTTGTGGAAGATCTGGCCATGTTTGAGGTCAAAATTTGCAAAAATGCGGTGTGACATGAAGTGATGTCCCCCACCATACTTGATAGGTCTAGTGTTGATAACTATGACCGTGTTCTCAAAGCCCCATGCTCCGCTGTTCTCAAAGCCCCACGCTCCGCTCCGCTGTGTCAGGGGACGCCGCGCTCCTTGGGCACGTGACCATGCACGTGACCCACTGCACCCTCTCTGCCGACCCGCGCCTGCTCACCTGTCGATCACCCAGCCTCCTCCTCCTCCTCCGATCCTCATCTCCATCCATGCCAACATCCGCCCTCTCCCTTCTTCCCCTGGCCATCTCCCTCGAATCCCCGCAAGCGGTCTAGCCAAGCCCGATTCCTTGCACCAGGGAGTGCTACTGCCGTATGCACTCCTCCCCCTTCACTTCGGCCTTCTCCCCGCGGATGTGGTCTACTGCCGTACAGGCTCGTACCAGATGCCCTTGCGCTCATCCGCACCACCCCTCTTTCCAGTTGGGCATTGGTCCTCGCCTCCAATGTCTCCACTGGCCGGCCCGGCACTGGCCTGGCCGCTGGGCTCCTCCAGTGTGGCCTTCCAGTGTGGCCTTCCACTGTTGGTGTCTCAGGAGCTGGCCATCACTGGCCCCTCTGAGCCACTCACTATCTTATCTGGGTTTGTCATTATCTACTTGTCATCTGCCATTGTTCCATGGCAGTGATATCCCATCATCATCAGTCACTTGTCACAGCTGACTATATAGTGTGACACCTGGGCACATGGATCCTTGAACCGTTCTCTAAGGATCCCCCTCTGTGCTCAGGTGAGTAGTATACCTCCCTTGTATTTGATAGTCTCTAAGGATCCCCCTCTGTGCTCAGACTCATGTGAGGTTGTTGTGTGCTGTGTGCTCTCTTCCTTCGGGCTGGCAGGAGTTGCCCTTACACGCTGCACGCAACTCGATGACTAGGACTAGACTAGAGACTAGAACAAATCAACTCGACAACTCAATGACTAGGGCTAGCACTGTCTGGCATTGTCTCACCTTGCTGACACATCAGGAAAACAGAAAGTTTACGGTTGGATCTGGGGCCTATGACACATCTGGTGAAATATGGATGCATGGCACCATACCGGCTTCTCGTGTCAGCTGTCACCAGATCAGCCAGAACTTATGGCGAGCAAATTGTTGATATCATTCATCTCAACACTATCCTTCAAGGTGCTCACCTCCTACCTGTCTTTGGTGACAAGCCCGTTCCTCAACACTTCAAATTCACATCTTCGTTGGTCTCTTTCCGTCACTACTACATCAATAAGTATGCTGACTATCATTCACATGAGATTGCTTTCTAAATTAAATGAATTTTATTTGCACTTGTCATAATTGTTTGGGTGATATAGTGTCTAGAAAAAACATTTTGTGAAAAATCTTCCTATGTTTAAGTTGGTATCAGAATCAGAATCCCAACTAAGTACCTTAGTTGCCACATCCCATTTGAGGAACTCAGCTGCAAAATTCCATCTAAGAGCGTTGAGCAGCAGAAACTTCTGACTATCAGTGACTTCATTACAAAATTCCAGCTACTCAAAGTATTATTCCTGTACTCAGGCAGCAAGTACTGCCCAGGAATAGCACATTCCCAAAATCTCAGTGTAATTGAGTGACCTGGTCACCCAAGAGGCTTGACCGAATCAAGGACAAACAAAGAAAGCAGGGAGTGTTCAAGAGAAATACTAGCTACTCAAATTATTATTCTTGTGCTCAGGCAGCAAGTACTACCCAGGAATAGCACATTCCCAAAATCTCAGTGTAATTGAGTGACCTGGTCACCCAAGAGACTTGACCAAATAAAGGACAAATACAGCTTTCCACCTTTCAGGAGAATTTGTTTTATGTGCAGTTTCAGATATGTAGATGTAAATAGACATTTGTGTAAAAGAAACATCACTTCTTAAGAGCTGGTCAGTAAAGACATAAGAAGCTCTCAATAAGACTTAAGACACCCCCAGTAAGACATAAGATAACTAAGTCACCTCACATAAGACATAAGATACCTAAGACAAACTTGTAGTTTTCCTGATGAAGGTCCCATGAATGCCACCAGAATTCGATGCTACTCAGGCTTCTAATAGTAAAATGTATTCTGCACAACTCTTTTGAGTACATACTAATATAACACTTCAAAAAGCTATCTTGTTTGCATGATGATCAGCAAATTTGTGTTGAAACCTGTTTGTATTAGCAACTATCACAGTATGTAGACATGACATCATATGTAGTATCTTTAGATTACTTTGGCTTGCTCCACAATGACCTCATACCTGACCTCATTATTGCGTCATCCATTACTCATCTATGATATCACTACTCCACTATAACATCATGATATCTGCTCCAGACTGGTATATAAACCTAGTACTATACGCTCCATATCCTCAGCTCTGTGTCTTCTACACTTGCTGAGGTATGCATACTCTCTTATGATCTCTTACAACTTATACTCATGACTTGTACCTAGACTTTGTCTCTATGTCAGGGGAACCCCCTCTTCTGATCGATCAGCTTGGGATCTGGCATGTGATCGCGCTCGCGTGACCTGTCAGCTGTCACGTACCGCGGCCCGGGCTGCCGTGCCGAGCGCTTCTCTCTGATGGGCACATGGTCAGGTGTCCCATTGTTCCCACTGTCTCAGTTTCCTATTGTTCTCCAAACAGCCATTGTACTTATTGTTCCCATTGTTCTTTGTTTGTCGCTGCGCGCTCTATTGTTCTTGTATCATATAAATAGTGGCGCCTGGCAAGGAGAATCCCCAACACGGTTTCTCTTTGGATTCTCCCTTGCCAGGTATGCCGGTCTTGTACCTAGCTACCACTATTATTCACTTTGGATTCTCCCTTGCCAGGACTCTGACATTGGGCCTCGAGGTTGCCCTTACAGCAGAAACCGTGTTCCTAGGGATAACCAGACAAGACTGCGAGGTTTGACGCTGATGTTGAAGCTTGTTTGTATTAGCGACTATCACAGTATGTAGACATGACATCATAAGTAGTATTCTTAGATTACTTTGGCTCGCTCCACAATGACCTCATACCTGACCTCATTATTGCGTCATCCATTACTCATCTATGATATCATTACTCCACTATGACATCATGATATCTGCTCCAGACTGGTATATAAACCTAGTACTATACGCTCCATATCCTCAGCTCCTGTGTCTCTACACTCGCTGAGGTATGCATTCTCCCTTACGATCTAATGACCTTACTTATGACTTGTACCATAGACTTTGTCTTATAGGTACAGCTAATGATATAGCTCCTGTGTCTCTACACTCGCTGAGACTTTGTCTTATAGGTGATTGCTACTGGTCGTATCTCCACTGCGCGGTATTGTCTGCGACAGGTTATGGGCCCCGCCTGAACCACTAGCGGCAAATCAAGAAACATCGAACTACTCCCTTTACTAAGGCGAGTATCTTTCACTCGTTCAGCCCTTCTAGAGCGCCGTCTTTGTGCGCTCGTCCCACTTGCTGGATGTCGGTCCTCGCATTTGTGCTCTCACCCTCAAGGGGTTACGCGAGCGGCGTCAGGGAGTCATTCAGTTGGCAGACACGCCGTTAGCTATTCCGTCCATGATTGCTCACGCGCGTTTTACGTTACATCTTTTTATTGTACAGCGGACATACCCACCAGGCACTGGTCCTTTGGTCAATCCCACTCCTGAACCTTGTGCGAAGCGCCTAGGTGATTAGTGTTGTTCAGGTCGGGTCGGGTCGGGTCTTGGGCAGGTCGGGTCGGGTCGAGGCGGGTCGGGTCGAGGCCATTTTACCCGACCTGGCCTGAAGCTGTAGGTCGGGCCGGGTTTCGGGTTGGGCCAGGTCGCGACTCGGGTCGGCTGTTTCAAGAAAACAATTGTTGACGTGATTGTACATGAACATTCAATGTATTCATACTTCAATCACAATATCTTCGTCGTCCTCGCCCTCATCCGGCTCGTCAGGGAGGAAATCATCCCACACGCATAGTCCATCCATTTCCTTATCAGGTCCCTCCTGCGGATCTAGCAGCGGCTCGTTTGATGCACTCGGGAACTTGCGAAACAGAAGCTCCTGTCGCAGACTGCACTTCATGAACTGCAGAGCTTCCACGATGTCCCCCTTGAGCCGGTTACGCCGATCCGAGACAGTGATGCCACTGGACGAAAATGCTCGTTCACACGATACGGACGCTGCCAGGATTGCGAGGTAGGTGAGCGCGAGAGAACGCCATGCAGGATGAAAGCGTTGATGATTGTACTGCAAGGAAGTCAGTGGTTGTTGAGCCGAGGAGCATGTGCACTCACGCTCCACCACTCAATGATTGACTGCCCGTCTGGGACAATGTCTTTACCTTCCACATAGTTCTTGAAGTCGTTGAGCCACGGCAAAGACGAGTCGGTATTTCTGAACGGACTGTCGTGAGAGGAAGAAGGTGAATTGTCTTCATCATCCGACGCGACGCTCTGTAGGCCCGAATACTTAGCCTTCTTTTTTGGTCGTGTCTCTTGAGCTGAAGCGCCTCCATGCAGCTCCCAATATACCCTGAACTACAAAATATGAATGAGAGGAACTGTTACAGAATTGAACTTGCTCACAATCTCCTCGCTTGCGTCCCGTACTTCGCGTTGAAGTTCTTGATCCCAATGGCGCGAAAAATACTCGGATTTCTGCATGGGGTCGAGCACTGCAAAGATCATGGAAGCCATGAATCATAACAATCTGCCGCAATACACGTACACATGGAGAAAATGTACACCGCTGAATCAGTGACTTTGTTGTAGTACCCCTCGAGTTTCTCGAGAGCCTGTTCAAGAGCTGGCTTGAACTCGGCATAATTTTCCTTCTCGCACTTGCGAAACCATTGCCGGTGCAACATCTCTAATGCAGGGATGACAAGGTGCATGCACGGACCCATGTCCGACAAGAACGCTTGTTGGGTCGCATCGGCATTCTGCAGTAAGTACCTCAGGGACATGGCAGAGGGAACTGACAAATATAGAACTCACTTCGAGGATAGAGATGACTCGTCGAACACGCTCCCATTCCCCAGCATTCAAAGACAGTTTACTTAACTTGGCAGAACGCTCCGAATTTTTCTCTGCACGAGCGAGTTTCATGACAAACTCATCAACAAACTGCGGAGGAATGTGAGACACGCTCATTCAGGTGGATCAGACACGTGCCTTGCGAAGGGTGAATGCACAATGAAGCATTGCATGTGTCGATGACCAGCGAATGATCATGTCCAGAATGAGCTGATAAACGACGCTGGTCTTGGCCTTCTCCTGCAACACCTTGAACAATTCTTTCCGCTGAGGCGACGAACGTTCCTAGGCTTGTGTCACGCAAGAGCAGTCAAGAAAATGATCGTGTCAGCTAACCTTCACACAGATCGCACAAACAATCCCGATGACATTGCGCAGGGTGGCGTCAAGATCAGGGAGGTGCGCGTCTGGGTTATGAGGATCATAGCATTTGGAGGCTGAGATCTCCTTGATCACTGTCTGTGTTGGCAGATTGACGATGTGAGCAAGACAGCTACAGTGATCTCGCTCAGTGACACCGATGGTGGTTGGACTTGAGCTTACCGTAGGCGTCGCTCAGTGCCGTTATATTTCCGACCTGTCCGGAACTCGATGTGGAAGGCAAACTCCGACATCATGGTGTCATTATTGGACGCATTATCGCACGTCACAAAACCCACCTAGGACTAGTGTGAGAACAGGACATAATTAGCTAAATCGGAGACTCACTTTTGACTCGAGACAAAGGCGTCGCACAACACGATAGAGTGCCTGACCAAGTCATTTACCATTGTGAGCATTCTGTAAACGAACAAAACCAATGATGACAGTGCGCTTGAGCCAGTCACAACCCCGGATCTCAATGAATGACGCTGTCACGCAGAAGTAGGCGTCGACATTATCTGCTTGCCAGCAGTCGGCAGCCAGATGCACCTCTCCAGGTACGTGGTCACTCTGAGCAAATGTGGATCGGAAAAGGAAGTAAGCAAATGTGGATCGGAAAAGGAAGATAGACATGGTAACGTACCTGGAATAGATCACGAAGTTTGAAGAGTCCCTCCTTGAACATTCCAATGATTGCAGCGCAAACCACCTTTCGCGATGGGATCTCAACACAACCTGGTGGGGCGCGTGATGAAAGATCGATCATGGCCTGGAAGTAGGCGTTTTGGAAAACGGACAACGGCTGCCATCTCTACCGTTAGATTTACGTAGAAGACTGTGAATTTGACTCACCTGATCTGTGGCTACGAGCCACTTCACAGCTGCGGATGTCCATTTTTCCTGCGTGAACACCGTTTCCCGAACACGAGGAGCAAGGTGTCCATCCAAACGGCCTTGGGTCTTGGCCTCGTTCTCTGCTTTTCGACGCGCAGCTGACATGTCTGGGAGCTTTGATTGGAACTGACGATCCAAGCACCACTGATTATACTTCTCCTGCGGTCGGGTCAATAAGATGGCCGGAGTGGGTTGAAAGAGGCAAAACAATACCTGGTGGAATCGTTCCAGATGCCGGCGTCTTGTCGTGTTGTCTTTGACAAATGACAGCTGTAATTTGCGGTGCTCTTTCGGATTTTTGTTGTACATTTTCCTGTTGACACATGAGATCATTGCAAGATGCGGCATCAAGTCGAAACGCACTGGCACAGAGTGCAGATGGACTTCTTCTCATCATCGCCATCCGGGACCCAAAAGTGATCAAGGTCTTTTCGAGCCTCGCAACGCGCTTTCCCAGGAAGTACAGAACTTTCTAACAACTCGTCCATTACAACATCTGCTAATAACCCCTCCCTGTCAACGGTCTCGTCTGACTGGTCATCGACCTTTCGCTTAGTGGCAGCTGCTAGAAAATTGATCAGGGAGTAATGCAGCACTGCGGGAAAGTGACACACATGCACCCTTTTTAGCTTTCCCGCTTTTTCCATTGATCGATTTAGGCTCATCATCTATTCGTGATGTCATTCTCGTGGGAGGTCGGTGAGCTAGTTGATCCACATACCCATGAGGTCAATGTCAATGACTTCCTGATACTGATCATGAGGCGGTGATGATGCTCGGGAAGTCGGAGGGGAAACACTGATACCAGCATTTTGGACCACAGCGCGTTGGTGGGTCGGGAGTTGCTCGGCATCATTTGCCTTGTCGAGTAGTTTTGTGCTTGGCACGGGGACACGTTTGCTTCGGACAATGTTCGAGGTGTCGACTCCATCAGGTCGCATGGTGATTCTGAGAGGGTGAGAATGTTCACGGGGAGATTGATCAAAGGATGTGGGGAAAGTGCAGGGTGACAGGAATGCAAAAAAGATTGGCGGATTGACGTGTCATGTGATATTGACCGCGATGAGCTAGATAGTTTCATACTAAGCTAGATTACATGTCTGCATTGCTTGTATACCCTAGTGCTTTTTTCACCACTGCTCACCTGAATGAAAAACGCACAAAGAGACTGACAAGATTGAGAGCGTCAAGAATGTTCCATGGTCGTCCGTACATGGTCCCGTGGAGGCAAATGTGACGTCACCGACCCGGGTTGTGACCCGGGTTGTCAGGTCGGTGCTTGAAGATGGACCCGGCCCAGACCCGGTTCTGACCCGGCCCAAAAGGCGGGTCAGGTCGGGTCGCTCAAGCCCGGGTCTCTGGTCGGGTCTCGGGTCTTGGCCCGGCCTGGGACAACACTATAGGTGGTGTGGTAGCTCTCAACAGCTGCTGGAGGTCAATCCCTCTGCCAGGCAAAACAATCCTTCGGGGTTGACTCGCATTCCTCACAAGGGACCCTGCGTGTGACAATCAACCCAAAGAGTCGAATTATGACACTGCGGGCTGGTGACACTATGAGGATTCATGCAATGACGCTCTGCGTGTATGCATGTCTTTAAAAGGGAGAAGATGGGCGGCCAAACCCGGTGCTTGGGACGGCCTTGGGCACGTGTCCCTTGGCCAGTGACGGACTGCGAGGGCAGTAATCACCGTCGGGTACTGCCGCCGCTGACGTATATAGTTACGTTACTTTGATACAAATATGGGCACTTACTATACCGCTTTATTTCGTTATCATTCCCCGCGCGTATATGGGCATCATGGATGGGATGGGGACGCTTGGGCGTTCTTGTTTCAGAGATTTGGCACTCGGGATTTTGTTTCTTGGTCTGCAGAGAATCTGGGGCTGACTTCGTCGCTCTAGTCTTCATCTCTATCACCCTGTCATCACCAAACGATCCTCCTGTTGGGGTTATTCAATACCCCGTTAACACTTGGGAATTCTTTGGACCTCCCTACCTTCCTCTCTCATCTGTCGCTGAAGACGACATCTTTCGAATCGGGGATCTAGAAAATCCAGACAGTCATCAAGAGCAGGGTAACTTCACCACTGCCCTCCACGTTCTGTTTGGCGAGAACCTCGTCGAAGACCCCTCCCTCTACTACCAAATCGAAGACGTCATCGAATTTCTTCCCATCATGTCTGGGATCAAAAAGTTGAACAACAACATCCTGAACATGTTCGATGGCACCAATTGGAACACATGGTCGGACAACTACATGAGCATCTGTATGCATCAGGGGACTTGGGGAGTGGTTAAACCCACTCACATCACGGTTTCTGGAACAAGTGCTCCAAATCCTGGGGCTCTAGGACGACCCACCACTGCCGATGAAAGTCAGCAGCGTTGGGACATTGCCAATGAAAAGGCACTGGGTCTTGCGCGGGTTTACATCACCCAGAATTTGCGCAAGGGAATCTTTATGGACGGTCAGCGGGAGCGCACTGCGCGCGAAGTTTTTGCGAAGATGGCGACGGATTATGGCCAGCCAAATGCCATCGATGCTTTCGTCGAGTACCGCCTCCTGAACACCACCACCTTCCATGGTGGTGACACCATTGAGAAGCAAATCATGGAAATGGAGACTCGTCGTTGTCAGTGTTCGGAAGGAGGAATCGAGATCCCCAACTACCTCTTCGCGACTCTCATGCTCGCCGCTTTGCCCGCTTCCAGTAGAGGTTTTGTCACCTCTTACCTGGCCAATCGTCCTATCGCTTCTCTGAACCCAGTCGATGTCAAGAACAGCGTCATAGGGAATATCAAGATCGAGAACCTCGACACGACGTCAAACTCGAAGATTTCCACCGTTCCGTCCCTTGCCACCCGCTGCACTCATTGTAACAAGTCCAGTCACGTTGCGGCATCCTGCTACAAGAAGTATCCCAACCTCAAGCCTACTGGTCAATCTTCTGACAAAGGCAAGGGGAAGCAGGATGAGGGGAAGAAGAAAAAGAAGAAGGAGAAGAAGAGTGGTGATGGTACTAGCGCTGTAAAAGAAGTTGTAGCCGCTCCCGCGGTTGCAGCTGCCTCCAATGGAATGCACATTTCGTCCTATCTCATGAGTGACTCCCTCAAACACATTGATGATGGAATTTTTGTTGAAGAAATGGGAGACGACTCCAAAGTTCGTTTTCTATGGGATTCGGGTTGTACGCATCATATGACAAACACCCAATCCGATCTTCACAACATCAGACCTATCGACACCTATGTAGTCGTTGGGTCGGGAGCTCGCTTCAGGAATGAAGCCGTTGGAGATATTGTGTTGCGGGGTCATACTAGTAGTGGCATGGACTACACCTTCACGTTGAAGGATGTCATCTACAACCCGCACATAAGAGGGCGCTATCTTTCTGGGTATGCGCTCAATCAGGCTGGTTACTACACCGTGGTTGGTGACAACAAGGCAATCCTAGTCACCAAGGATTGGCTCAACAAGGGAAAAGCGCATGGGGATGTCTTGATGACCTTTAAAGCAAGCAATCGCTGCTACTGGTACTACCCCGAGGAGCTCGTGGCACCATCTGTGTCTGCATCTCACGAGTCTACCGCGCTCGCTTCCCTGGAAACTACCGATCGTGAATTGTGGCATAAGCATTTTGGTCATGCGGCTCAGAGGACCCTTTCTCACTTGCCGACACAAGTTGAAGGTGTTCCCCCCTTGCGACGCAATAAAGACCAGCGCGGCATGTGCGATGGATGTATGCTTGGAAAACAGCACAAGCATCCGTACCCTGCATCAGAGAAACGTGCTAGCAAACCCCTCGAGCTTATCCACACTGATTTGATGGGCCCCTGGCCTACTCAGTTGTTGGAAGGTTCACGCTACACAATTTCGTTCTACGACGATTTCTCGAGCTTTGGCATGATGGTGTTCATTAAATCAAAGGACCAAGCCTCTACTGCGATTAAAAACTTTGTTGCCCTGACAGAGCGTCAGCTTGGCACAAAAGTACTGGCCTTCCGGTGAAATGCTGAGGGCGTGCTCACAAGTGAATCTACTATGAAAGTAAACCCAAATATAAACACGTTCACACTCCTCGTAATCAGCTTCTCAGTGTGTGAAAGATGCGAGGGCTTCGGGGTGGACAGAGCACCAGTATCACAACTCTCAATAGACGCAGATCCAATAGTCGCGGAGACGGAGTCGACGACAAGAATATATATATAGCAAACAATGGTATCTCAACCAATATCTTCTATACGAGCACAACCAACACTAATACAATCCACAACCAACGATATAACAAGTCAGAGCTTAATACGAAGTATTAAGATCCCTTGTAGCGACAGTGTCCAGATGGTGACGCAAAGCCCAAATATCAAGTCGACGCACTGCCAACCGATACAACCAATATACTGAGTCGACGCACTGCCAACTAGTAGAACCAAAATGTCAAGTCGACGCACTGCCAACTGACACAACCAAAAGTACCAAGTCGACGCACTGCCAACTAGTAAACCAAAATGCCGCGTCGACGCACTGCCAACTAACAGCCAATATCCAATGTCCAAAACCCGAGCACAACTTGTCGACGCACTGCCAAGCAAGAAGTGTGGAACCAAAGTTCTCAAGTCGACGCACTGCCAACTGACCAAAACAACCCGAGCACAACTAGTCGACGCACTGCCAAGCTAGAGGTGTGGAACGATCTCAACAAAGCCCAAAGGCGACGACACTAAATGCCGCGACTAAACCAGATGCGGCGAATTCGACTTTCTGATGTCTCAACTCAAACTCGAATCACAGTAGCTACAAGTGCTCAGGGAGCAACTCGTCGCGACCGGGCAGGGGTAGCAGAACTTCTTAGGGTGGAATCACGCAGCACGCAAATTGTACAAAACAATCTGAAATGAGAGTGATTCACAGTCCGGGGGAAAGCTTCTTAATACAAAGAAACGTCGTGCTACTTATACTGTCTACGACGATGCTTAGTAAAGTCCTGTACAACTGCATAGTAGCTACGCTATCTAAGATCGGTTGCCTTTTAGGGTAATTGAAAGTTGAACGATCGGACAGGTCCTGAGTGATCAGGACCCCGCCCCATTGTCCATATGATACTTTTGATGTGGGCCAACTCACCGCGTCATACTTTTGGAATACGACGTGCTGGATTGGCCAACGGGTATGTCTTGGCATGTGAGACCAACGTGGGCGCCCCAAGAAGCCGTATGGCCCTAGGCACGCCAGTCGTCCCCCACATGGTTCGGTTCACGGATCTAGCCGTGTCGGTTTCTAGTGTGTTTGGGTATGGGCGCGACTCGCCGTGACACTTGGAAGTGTCACCGCGACATGTCCACAATGTCCCATGATCGAATGGATCCTGACATGTGACAAGTCGTTGTCGTGGCATGATCTGAGGAAACGTCCAACCCAAAACCGGGAGTTGCCGCGACAAGATGGTTTAAGTCTCGTAACGCCAAGTCCTGTCCAGTAGTAGTTCTATTATTGAGGACGTCGCACCTTGCTCAGCCCTTCAGCCCAAGTTCCCATCTGCAGAGAATGACCCTTTTTGAGAAGTCGACGCAACGACAGATCCCTTTTTGGGGAATGGTCGCGGTCCAAGTGTTCGTCACTAATGGCCCTGAGCCTGGTGTAGACTCATAAGACCAGTTCCACAGTAGTGGTCTGACTGCCTTGCTATCGTCGACACTATCCACAGTCGTCGACTGGGCAGTAGACCCATAAGTCCTACTGAGCGCAACACTGTCAACCGCAACACGATACACCGAATGGTTCAAGAGTAAACTCTGTAAAAAGCGCAAAAATACGCCCTTACAGAGTTGGTGCAGAGCACGTCTGGTAGCCAGCCTATCACCGGTCAGATCGTGGAGGCAAATATATGTCCGATGAACTCACAGCCTGGCTCAATGCACGTGGTATTATGCACCCTAAGTCC